ATATAGTTTTTATATATTATATTCTTAAATTTATATCTCTAAAAATTCTTTTCATTTCTGAAATTATCCTAATTAGTTTTTAGAATTTTTCTTCCTGTGTATTTGGACTGCTCTTGCTGTTGTTTCAATCTCAATGCCACTTTGCCCGTTGAAGCGCGCTGCTAAGTATGCTACAGAAATTCTCCTTGCTGCTTTGCTTTTCTTGGCTTTTCTTCTTCTCCTTATTCTTGCTCTCCTTCTTTCTCATCTTCCCTTTCCCCCACCCACTTCTTGGCCTCGTCCTTAGGTTGAACTCCTTTGTTTTTAGTGGGGCGACTATATAGAGATGAATGAGGCGCGCTTATTGTTGTGCATTTACTCGGAAATAGTAGTGGAGATTCTGGTCTCAAAAGAACAAAAAGTTTCAAGACTCTTGAATGTATATATGTATGTATGTATCATATATATACCTATATATGTTCCCATATTAACTTTAATATTTTTAGGGGGCATACTTTTTGCCAAGGTAAACAAGCCACAGAAAACTTGAACCTTAACAAGTGCAAAGTGAAAGTAAATATGAAAGGCAAACAGACGCCGGGAACGAAAAATAAATATATATATATACATTTCAGCAAGGTAAAATATATGTATATATATAATAAAATATAAGAGGAACCCCCTTTAAAATGAAAAAAAAACTTGAACTTGAACTTGAGCCGGAAAATGTAACGAAATCGAGCTGAATTCGAGACCAAATGAACGCTCAATTAAAACTTAAATAAAGCCAATGGAAAAAGTGTGGAAAAGTGAGGAAATGTGGAAAAGTGAGGCAAACGAAGGCCAGGATAAACGCCTGAAGACTAAGGAAATTTTTTCAGGCAAAATAATAATCAAAAGTTGGGTATTCAATTACAGCAGACAGTGTTTGCTGAATTCTATATTTATTTTAGAATTTAATACTAATATTAATATTAACATTAAGAATTATTTTAGTTTAATTTCATTATTCATAAATTATATATTTATTTTAGAATATTATATTAAACTAAACTTGATAAAAAAAAACAGTTTCATTTAATTATTTTAATTATTTTTAAATTATATATTTTGCTTAGATTTTAATGTTAAATTTAACTTGCTAAAAAAAGTTTCATTTATATATGTTAATTAATTTAATTTAATTTTATTCTTGTTAAATTATATATTTATTTTAGAATTAAATACAAAATTTAATGTGATAAAAAAAGGTTTTTTTTTTATATATTTGAATTATTTTATTGAAAAGTAATTATTAAAAATTAAATAATGTATAATTTAAGTGTTGTCAAAAGTTAATTAAAATTTAAAAGTAAAAAAAAAGTAAACAATACTTGAAAAAGAGTATTAAAATAAATTACAAAATGATTAATTGCTAATTTCTATTAAATTGCAAACCTGAAAATAACAGCAAAATGTCAGTAAATAATTGAAAAAAAAACCACAAACCAGAGGAGCCACTTAATGGAATAAATATATATATATTATATACATAATATATAGGGAAAAAATGTGAAAAAAATCAAGTGATACTGAAGCGGAAATGGACGGGAAATTAAGTGAAAGTGAAGCGGGCATAAATCAGGCCGCAAATTGATGGGCGGAAAAGCGCTGGAAAAGTGGGCAAGAAGGAGCAAGAAAAAAGCCAAGAAAAACAGAGGGGAAAGTCACCCGCGAACTTCATTTTTTTTGTTCATAGAGTTTTCTTCCAGCTTTTTGTTCGGCTGGCTTTTCCTGTGGCAGCGTCTCTTGCTGGCTTTTTAATTGCCACTTACGCGTCCTGGCTTAGACCAAAGCCCCTCGTCGATGATGCTGGGTCCTTGCGCTGCTCCTAATTTATTTTTATTTATTTTTTTTCGTTTTCTTCATTTTGTTTTTGTTTATAAGCAAAGGCTTTTTATCCCTTTGTCTTTTTTTTTTCGGCGACATAAATTAAAGTCCACTAATTGCGTATACGCCGCGTGGGCCTGAAGGACAAGCAGCAGGGACATTGTTTCGGGCTTAGTCCTGCTTAGAGGATCCAGCAGGAAAGCCTCTTCCGTCACACAGCAAATCCTTTGGGGGATTTCCAGCCTTGATTTAGTAGTGTTTACTGTGCGATTAAAATTTAATTAAATGCTTTGCTCAGACAAAAAATGTAACAAACAGCACATGCAAACAGGAACAGGACACTGATGACGCCGCAACATCATCATCATTATTATCCTTATCATTATCACCAGCAGCATCCGCACATCAAATGAAATTCGTTTTGTCTCCGCCGAGCATGTAATAATTTATAACACGATGAACTTGTCGCCAACGCACACACACACGAACACCCACGCACACACACACAGAGCATGTGTATGTGTACACATATATGCAAATGAAATGAAATGTCACCCTATAGGCGTGGCATTCAGACAGGGTCCTCAAAATTAAGGCTTTCAAAGGAAAGAATCATTTTAGACAGAAGATCAGCATTTACCGAGAGTGTTTCCACTCGCTTGAGACTATAATTCCCAACTAGTTCTTGCATCTACGGAGTGCTAACCTAAAGGCAAGGCGCATCTGAAGCTCTTATTTTTTTTGTTTCTTTATATTTGTAACACTCAAACCTCCTGCTCTCAATTAGGCAACTAACCGAGTCATTTTGATAACTCATGGTGTATACCCTTTCAGCTGGGGAAGGTGGAAAGTAGTAGCTGGGAGCTGGGGGAGCTCAAGGAGCCATCGTCATCGTCATCGTCATCGTCATGATTGTCATCGTCATCAGCCAAGCATGATAATGATAACAGTAACAAGCAAGCGCAGCGACAACTCTGGCCGGAAAAGTGGGCCTTGACTGGGCTGAGATGGGAGGGAATGGGAATGGGAGAGGATGTGATATAAAGATTGTTGCCATATTGCTATCATTTGCACACAATCAGCGTCAACGTCAACGGAAGGCGAAACGTGAGGGGGAAGTGGGTGGAGGGAGGCCAAAGGGCAGAGGGACTGGATTCAGAAAATGTATGCAGAGATTCCGCCCTCTTGGAGGGAAGTAAAGCCATTCCATTCGACAGGATGAGGCGCGGATGATGCGGAGATTGCTCGTCGTCGACGTCGTCATCCAAATTGCAGATAAAGTATAAATAAATTTAAATAAATAGCGTAAAATCAAATTTCCTAGGAAAAAAAGCCGTGAAAATTTCCCTGTCCTTTGAAATGAGGGGAAAATGGATAGGAAAAGCTTACAAATTGGTGAGACAATATAATCATTAGTTGGAGTTGCTTCTGAGATTTTTTGCGGGGATATGAAAGCTGAAGGTGAACTTTAAGGGGGATTTTTTTTATTTAAATTTTACCTTAATTATTATTAAACATAAAAAAAGCTTAAATATATTATTTATTAATTGTATGCTAATGTTTTTCCAACGTTTTGCCATTTTAAGCTTTGCTCTTAAAGGGGCCTGCCTTTTTGGGGGGCTTGACATTTCTCATTCCATTTTCGCTGGCGACTTGTGACCGCGACCTTGTCTCAGTCTGCCACACCCCACCACCCTCCCTTTGTGTGTGCGACATTTGCCTATAATTGCCTATTAGTTTTCATTTGTTGATTTGGTTCTGCCTTTGCACGTGACGTTAACTGCTGGTCTGGGTCTCTCAGTTTTGGTTTTAGGTTTTGGTTTTCGATTTTGGTTTCGATATGGATATAGGTATCGATTCTGCCTGAGCCACATGCCATATATGTACATGTAGGTCCCAATGTGTTGGCCTTCCCCCAATCAATTGGTGGCTAATTGTGGCCAAGCATTAAGCACCACAAATGGGTTCAGAGGTTCAGAGTTCAACGGAATTATAAATATATTCTTACTTTAAATTTTTTATTAAGCAATTAAGGTATATAATGTATAGATTTTATCAAATTGAAATTACATATATATATTAGTTATTTAAGCAGCTTAAAATATAATTTACAATTCATAGTATAGGTATCTTAAGAGTTGAAATATATTTATTCATTAAATTTAATAAATTTTCAATGTTCCAAAATTTTACTTAATTTTTAAGCAGAAACCTAAAGGTGTTCTGCTATTTTTCCTGGAAGAATTTAATATTTTAAGTATTAATTGTACCCTTAAAAAAATAGTTTTTGATATTAATGAAAGATTCTGTTGTTAAATTAAAGAATTTTCTTACTTTGAAATGACACAAAATATTGAATATATTTTGTATATATTTAATTCATAAATATAAATTCTTAAAATATATTATGTATATATTTATACTAATTTAATTAAAAATTAATTTAAATTACATATTTACGATTTTTATTTTTAAAGTCACAAATAGCATTGATCTCTTATATTTTGCCACTATATATTTTTCAGTGCTTAGCAAAATAGCATGAAAAATCGGCCCAGGCCTCGAAGAGCTTTCCCTTGGCACCAACACATTTTTCTTGCTTTTCCCCTCCTCTCTCACCCAGTACTTGCGAATTTTTCATTTTCATTTTCATTTTCATTTACATTTTCATTCTCGTCTGGCTTTTGTCTGTTTTGCTTGTTTTTCTTTTTGTTTTTTTTTGCATTTGTTATGTGTGTTAGTTTGGCAACTGATTAATTGCCACGCCTCCCCTGGCTACCCCCCCAGTGACCATGCCCCCGATTTTGAATCAGATCAAGAGTGTCTGCATTATAATTTCGTTCAATAATTTAATGAGCTGAAAATAAAGGCTCTTGGCAGCAAGAAAAAATCTGCAGAAATATTATTGGATTAAATTTTGTGTTAAAATATTTAAGTTTTTAAAACTAGATTCTATTAAGATTTACTAGAAAAAAAACTAAAGTATTTCTTGTTTAAAATTTATATATTTATTACGAATTTAATTCAGGTCTTATTATGAAAAACCCTAAAAAATCTTTAAAATCTTTTAAAAAATCGTAAAAAACTCCTTAAAATCTTAAAAAATAATACTACTTCTTGTTTAAATTTTAAATATTTATTCCGAATTTAATTCAGGTCTTGAGTGGATTACAAACTATCACAATGTTGGCTTGCCTAAATCTTATTGTTAAAAATCCTAAACAAATCTTTAAACAAATTCTTTAAAATCTTTGAAAAAAATTAAAACAAATCTTAAAAAATATTTATAATAATAATTAAAACCTAGCTAATCGCTCGCTGTGCTGGGCAAAGTGAAAGCCACCGTAGTACTCCTCCAAATCGCACAAATCCCGCTGGAACTGTGCCTCCATTCGAGCTTGGGCCGCCTTCTGGCGGGCGGAGGGACGCCGCCCGAGGGTGTGACTGTTGCTGCTGCTGCTCCTCAAGCTCAGGCGGCGGCGTACCTTCATGCCTGGCAGAGCCAGTTGATCCTCCACCGTCAGCGTGGGCTGCCCGCATCGCTTGGTGTCCGTGTGCGAGGGGAATCCCCTGGGCGTGGTCTGGCCAGCAAAGGCCTCGCTGATATCATGTAACCGTTGCTTGCCCGCCTGCTGTTTGGCAGCCAAATGCTCGAAGCTACACTTCCACTGGGCATACTGCTTGTCAGCTCCCGATCTCTTGGTAATGCTGGGGGTCAGCAGGTTGCCGCAGGAGCCAAAGGAGGAGCAGCGAGGCATGGGCCTTAGAAGATGGCGGGACTGCGAATGGTTGAGTCGTCTCAGGCGCTTCTGTTTCCTGGCCGAGATGTTCAGCTTGCGGAGAAGCATCCGCTGGATTTTGGCCAGAAAGCTGGGTAAAGGACAGCAAATGCCAGGTGGGGCAGGAGTTGTGGTGTCCTCGCCGGACTTTACCTTCTCCGCTGAATGATTTGAGCCCATTTTTTTTTGTAATTTCTTTTAAAGTTTTGAATTTATTTCAAGTGAAATTCAAATTACTCTTAATTTTCTTGGATTATTTATCGTTCGTTCTTGTGCGTTCTTGTCGCTGTCACTGCCTTTGGCCAACTGATGCTGATTGCCACCAAGCGGCTGGCATATATACTGGCTCCACCCAGGTAGCTGTCCTTATAGGGTTTGGTTTCGGGATCAGCGGTCTTATTCGCTACCCTTTGCTGACCTTCATAAAAAATATATATATATGTATACCTAACCCCAGCCCCTTTTGACCATAATCCCCTTGTTTTGCATAGTTTTATGAGCCAACATTTGGTCACGGCTTTGGTTTTTGGGTTTCGGGGTTTTGCTAGAGTCGCGATTTTGTTTATTGCCCCGCAATCCTTGCACGTGCAAAAGGACCTCAGGGGATCAGTAGCAGGCAGCGGCGATTTAATGGCCCATCATTTGCTGTCGCCTGCTGCTGCTGCTGCTGCTGGCCAGGATATCTAACATTCTCTGGGACATACTTGCCTGCCAAGAGGAGAGCGAGAGGAGGGGGAGTCAGGAGAGCGTCCAAAGGATGTAGCCCGGGAGGCGCCACTTAAGTCTGTTGGGGGGAGGAAATTCTTAATGAATTGCAGCAAAGGCCCTAAACGAACTACAAAGTACACTGGGAGAAAACTAGGTATAAGAACGTGACATAAATTAATGGAATTTCTTTTGATTAAACAACTTAAACTATAAAACTAAGACAAACCCTTGATTTTTTTAGTGAAAGATTACTTGGAAGAATATATATATTTTTTAATTTAATTTGAATATTTTTCTCTCTCTGTATTTTGCTGAAAAACTGGTCCTCTGCTGGAGAGGATTATTGCATGGCGATGGCGTTATAGTGGGGCCATGAGGTCTATGGTTAAGCATCCTGGCAGAATGCTCGCTTTGTGTGTCAATCAGCCTTTGCATGTCAGCAGTGCCTTCATTATTGGTATCCTTACATCCTCCACCCTCCCCCTGTGTGTGTGTGTTTCTGTGAGTGTATAAGTTATGGCTTGAATGGGGGGATATAAGCGGCTTTGCCTTCATTAAAACTAGACATATGTATTGCATAGTGAAAAATAATTGATCTCAATTACCAGGCGGAGGTGCAGCATGCCGTGAGGTTGCACTGAAAGAAAATTATGTAAAAATTATATGCAAAGAACATATTGTTCTATGAGTTTTACCTGTTTTCATTTCGAAATTAAACAACAAATTACCTCAAAAAAGAACCTTTCGAGAATTTTCTAAACCCAAAAAGCACTTATTTGTACCTGTTTTAAATATCAAAATAAAAGTATACCTATTTTAATAAAAATAAATGAATTTTAATTTTAATTTACAGAAAACACAATTTTATTAACGTTTTTCTCCCTGACATACTGATGGGTCCTTGAATTTCCCCTTTAATTAGGTTTGAATTTCCGCAAAGCCAACTTTCGATGCATTTTCCCACTTTCTCTCTCTCTCTCTCTCTCTTTCCACCTCTCTGTATCTCTTTTCTCCTTTCCCTCTAATTGTATTGAAATCGAAACACGGAATTCCTTCTCATGTTTTCCTGTTTTTCCCTGGAAAATACAAAACCGAAGGCCGCTGTCATGAAGGGGAGGATTTGGGTGGTCCTGCGGCATCCCAACCAAGTGTTGGGGAATTTTTCCGCTTTTCATTCCCACCGAAAAAACCAAAAGGCAGTGGCGGGGCAACGAAAAACTGAACTGAAAATTCATTGCAAAATTCCTGGCAATAGTCAAATGGCAAGGAAAGGGTTAAAGCCGATAAGGAAGATACTCTAAGGGGATATATTCCATATATGTTGATAATTTCTTAAAATTTTAAAAATAAAAATAATCTATAAATAATTATAAATATTCTAAATATTCAAAAAATCTTGTAAATATTCTAAATATTCGAATTATTCGAAATATTCTTTGTAAATCTATAAATTATCTAGCTTCCTTTGTACTCTTTAAGCTTAATTTATTCCTAATATTTATTCTCTTTATTTTTGATTTTCCCTTTTGAGTCAGAGCATCTCCCAGTTGCTTTTAAATTTCCGATAAAAAAACCTAACCAAAAGGGTGGCACATTCAGGTTCAGAGGGCATTTTCATTGTCAGCTGCAGTTGGAATTGGAAACTGCAAGGGGGGCAGGGAACTTGGAGAGATATTTGCGGCCAGGATATTCCCCAGAGAGACAAAGCTACCGAACAGAAAATTCTACTTAATTGCAGCCATTTGTTAAGTGCCAAAAAAAAAGGGAAAACGAATTATTATTGCAGCAGATACAAGATACTTTTGTATCTGTAGTGGAGAAGGCCATAATATATGCGAGTTTAATTGCGCATTTTAAAGCCTGGCATATAAATTTTTAAATATTTTATTAGCAAAGTCAGTGTCAAGGTTCATTGCCAAATTCAATTTGAGACAGACCACTTTTTTTATAAATATATTTTCAATTAAACAGAGCTTTTCTCTCTTTCTGTTTTTGGTTTTCCCTGGCTCACGCAATTCAATTTCTACCTGGGAAAACCTTTTACGACCTGGCCAACATGTCGGCATATCATAAAAAAACGAAAAGCGAAATGACACAAAACAAAAAATAAAGAAATGGCAACAAAATATGGGCTATGGCATAAAAATTGCTTTTTATTTAACCCTTTTTTTCGAAAGGCATAAAGAATGCATCTGGGAAAAAATACCTCTCCCTTAACCCGTTTTTCCTTACTTGTGTGTATTCCCCATATGCAAATCAACCTTTTCCCGCTGCACATTCCAAAGGATACAAAAAAATAGAAAGAGAAATGAGAGCAAGGAGGTGTCACCGAGTTACCCCTGGGAATGTTATCGAAATATATGTATGTCGGGTTGCTTGGGCGAAAATAGAAACTGGGAATAACGACAGCTCCCTCTTTTCCCAAAGCTGACAAAGCGATTTTTACTGGAAAAGTTTGCCAGCCGAAATTAAGATAAATAACTCAAAATCAAAGTTCAAAGATAACAAGTTGTTGTGTGAACTTTTAAACAAATTTAAAGGGCGTGAATTTAGGTGATTTTGAGGTTTTACAAAAAAGGGAAATAACCTTAAAAATATTTCGAGGGATTTATAAAGGGATTTAAAAATTAATTACAAATAAATATAAATAAGAAAAAATAATACAAAAAAAATAATATATGTTTAATTTACCGTTTTATAATATAAATTAGACTGGCTTAAAATATAAATATAATTTTAATTAGTTATCGATCATCTGCCATATCTGATATATGTACATACATATATCGTAGTGTGTTTTAAATTAATTTTAAATATTAAAAAAAAATAATAATGCAACAAATAATCTGTATTGATATATATGTTTCTTTCTTTAATAATTATAATTTGAGATTAATTTGTTATCGATTAACTAAGGTCTCTAATATACATATTTTTAATATTTTAAACTAATTTCTAATTTCACTATTATAACTTAATTTATTTTTCAACTTCTCTGTCTTTTCTACAACTTCTGCTTTAAATTTCTTCTTTTAAATCCCTAATAAATTTAATAAGGATTTTTTTTCGATATATTTTGTGTTCATCTCTAACTGCATTCTGGTTATCAGTGCAGTTTCATCGCTACTTTAACTGTAAAAACATCAAAATTATCGATGGTCTTATCTTTACCCCATTGCCATATCCTTTAAGCCCTTTGAAGACCCTCACAAAATCAATCAATTTCGAGCGCAGATTACAAAGTTTACACAAGAGTCAAGTGTAAGCCAAAGTTAATATCACTTATATACTCAATCACTCACTCCGGGGCCCTCGATAACTTGGTCCTCTGTAATTTAGTGGCCCCCCCCCAAAAAAACCCATTTTGGATGACCACAAATCTTGGCAGAGCGGAACGCGGAAGAGGAAAGCCATATATGGGAGTTGGCAGGACTGGGCTAAGGATAAGGATAAGGGCAAGGGCAAGGACATGGACATGGTGTGTGCGTGCAGGGTTAAGGACAAATCACGCATCAATAGCAATCAATCAATTTGCGGGCAAGCAAACCAATTGAACAAAAAAGAAAAAAAAAATGAAATCGAGGAAAAAGAGGGAAAATAATGCGACACAGACACACAGTCACAGTCACTGGCAAAAGTTAACAGCATCTAATGTGATTTTGACACACTCACCCACAAAAGGAGCGAATGTTTTCACAGTCTTTTGTTTACAATTTGTGTGCTGTCCCCGGCATTTCCCTCTTCGGCTCCCTCCCCTGCTACCCGATATCATCTGACCTTCGCCCCCTGTCAGCTGTTCGGAGAGCTTCTCTCCTGAATCATACCCTGTAAGCGATGGGTATGCTATTGCTAAGCTATGTCCTTAATTAATTAAACAATTATATAATTATTAATTAGTTATTATAAATTCTTTAGAAACCTTACAAAATACTTAAGTATTTTTACAATATATATATAATAGTTTTCAAGGGGTATCAAGCTGATCACATCCCCAAAAAACTTAAATATCTATACATGTTTTCCTTGCTTTTCATAATTGAGTTTGACTAAGCACAGGAATGAATGTGGAAAAGGGGGGATAAATGTTTTTTGTTTGCTTTACTTGGTTTTCAATTTCGATGGCGACGGCAACCCTGCTGCCAGCTCCAATCAAGCGAACTATCCATCAGAGTTTCCACGCATCGAATTCCCTACTCTCCCGCTTTTCCCCACCTACCTAGCTTAGTTTTCTCTTCCCTCCCCCCCAAACACACACATATGAGGAAAATCAATACATACAAAGGAGGAAATAAAAAACAAAAGGGGAATATTTGGGATGATGGCTGAATTTTAGATACTCTGTAAGGAAAATATTGGTTTGAAAGTTAAATAAAAATCTGGGGAGTTTTGAGAACTTATACAAACATGCCCAAAAGTATGCTACAGAATTTAGAACCCTTAAAAACTATATACAAATATTTCTACATTTTGTAAGATACTTTTGGGTGGCCTTAAAATAGATTTTAAATCCGCATGAATGTGTAAATACATTCTTATAATTTAAATTATAGAATATATTTTTTTATAATATATTTTTTATGATTTTTTTTATTTTATTCTTATAATATTTTTTTTATCATTTATTTTTATGATATATTTTTTAATAATATTATATTTGATTAATAGAATTTTTTATAATATATATTTTTATATAATTTCTTTTATTATATATTTTTTATGTATGATATTTTTTTAAATATATATTTGTTTATAATATATTTTTTAAATATTTTTTTTATTATATATTTTTTTTTAATAATTTCTTTCAAGTGTTTTTTTGATGGCAAATAATTTTCATTAAATTTTTTTGTATTATACAAATTCCATATTTTCATAAAAAGGCCCATCGAAGAGGAGTTTTTGTGTGGAAGAACTCCTCTTGATATATCTGGTTGTGGTTGTGATTGTGGTTGTGGTTGTGGCAGTGTCACCATGTAGGACGGGTCCATAAATTCATCAGCGTCTCTAAATGGCTTAAATGTGGCTTAGGAAGAGCCAGGGAAACCAAGCGCGGATGCGGGCCAAATGCCACATCTGCTGGCTGGCTGGCTGGGTGGCATTAAAACCGCAAGATGTCCTAATCCTGGCATAGGATTTGCCTTGGACTTGGCCACGCCTCCCCCTCCCCTCTCGCGGATTCCCTAATCTGGCCACTTGATCCCTATGTACCACATCCCATCTCTGTCTCTCTCTCCCTCGAGCATGCCATCCTCCCAGATCCGCTGTAATCTTCGGCCAGATTTCACACCGCATAGCACGCGACTGGCGATTAGGCTGAATCTTTCCCAGATTCAATGGTTTCCAAATGGATTGAATGGACTTGGACTGGGTCTTAAAATTGGACTAGCAACACGCAATGCGAGCAATTCTCTCAATTCTCTCAATTGTCCTGGATTGTGGCAGATTGTAATTAGAGCGGATCACACACTGCTCCGAATCCTGCTTGGCTTAAGGGGGGCTTTAGGGCAAAATCTGGGCCAAGGGATCGAGAGGAACCACTTGAGTTTTTGTTCTCGCGCCTTGTCCTTTTGTTTTGTGGCATCGCAGCACTTGAGGTCCTGGCTCTGGCTCTCTGCTCTGCTCAAGTGTCGCTGTGGAGTCAGTCCAAAACACTTTTGAGGCTGTCAAACGGCAGCAAAAGTCCTTTGGCTTCGTCCTCACCTCACTGGGTTCTGGGTTTTATGCTGAGAACAATTTTGGTCTTCTTGAAAGTCCCATGAAAATAATCTTTAAAATTTAAATAAAATCCTTAAATATTTGTTTTAACTTTTCTACTAAATGTCCTTGTTTTTCTTTTACTTTTTTGGTATGGGATTCCCTTAAAGTCTCCTAAAAAAGTTCTTAAAATTCAACTAAAATCAAACTAAAATCCTTAAATATTTACTTCAAGTTTCTACTTAATAATTTTTAAATACTTCTTGTTTTTCTTTCATCTCACCTTAATTATTCACTCACCTAGTTTTTATTTAACCTGGACTGAGTCTTGTTTGCTCACAGTTTTGACACTTTAAAGTCGATCCCAAGCGCCAAGTTCCAAAGGAAATTGCGGCAGGACTACTGGCTTTCTAGTTGCTTGGGCCAGGGTCAATGCTGGGGCCTGCATATTTCATTGGTCCTGTTTAATGGGTGGAAAAGGTCCCGGAAGTGACGGGCAATTGCCGGAGAAAATAATGGGGAAAATATATAAAAAAGTGGGAGAGAGGAGGTGTCACCAGAGGAGCAATTTATTAAATATTTTTGTAAGAAATTTTTTTATGAATTTAATACTTATACTAAAAGTGTTTATTTTATAATAATTTTACTTAAGAAAATTACTTAAATTAAATACTATATATTATAATATTCAATTTTATGATAATTTTACTTAAAAAATATATTTTCTGGTGAATTTTAAATATAAAATCAATTAATAATAATATTTTTTGATTTTAAAATTGAAATTCATCTGAGAAAATATTTAATATATATTTTTTTAAGTAAAATTGTTATAAATTTAATACTTTTGGTATGAGTTAATAGCCATATTTTAATTGTAGAATATTTCTCTTTATTACTTTAATATTTGCTTAAATTAATTATTTATTTCACATATTTATTCCCTTCTTTTTTTGTAATTATATTTCCTTCTCCTCGGCTTCTCTGCGGTTAAACATAATTTCCTTTTCAGTTTTTCTCACACAATAGAGCCTGATCTCATCCTTTTTTGATTTTGTTGCCATTTCCTTGCGCATAAATTCCATATAAAATAGCACCATTTACTATTTATTATTCCGCCAGATGGGCGAAAGGACGAGGGCCTCGAGCAAGTTTTTCCCAGGCAGCGCCTGGTTCTTTATGGCCGCCAGAGAAACTTAATAATTCTACATCATTTTTATGTGCAATCAGAGAGGGAAAAGCAGGGGGGGGCGCAGGAGGGAGGAGCAGGAAAATAAAGAATGGTGTGTGAAAATTCCAGCACTCGAAAGTCGTCTTTAATTTCAACTTTATTCTGCCACAATTTGCACTTTTCCTTCTCATATGTTGTCCCTTGCAAAAAGTTTATTAGCAAACTTTTTTCAAGGAAAAACTGCGCGGGGGAAAAGGGGGAGGGGTGTGTAGGTAAACTTTTGCAATAATCAAAATAATGACAAAACCTTTCACCTGTTGCTACGCCCTTTGCACCTGTAGTTGGTATCTGCACTGGGAGAAGTTTGCTTGAAAATCAATTTAAAAATCATAAAAATCTTAAAAGAAAAGAACTTTAGTTGTGTAATTAAAAAAAAATAATTAAAAATTACTTATGTTACTTATAAAATATTTTAAATATTATTATCTATTTTTAAAATATATTTTACTTGAAGAAATCTTTTTTTAAGCAATCTTAAAATCATAAGCTTCCCTAAAAACAAAGTAAACTTAAGTTGTATAATTTTAAAAAAGTAATTAAAAATTACTTAAGATATTTCTATAATATTTTATATATATTTTTTTATTATTATGATTATTATATATTTTAAAAATATATTTTACTTGGAGAAATATTTCTCTAAAAGAAATTTTAAAATCTAAAAAAGTAAACTTATTGGAATTAATTTTTAAAATATTGATAATTATAAATTATATATATTTTATATATATATTATAAGCACTGAAAGAAATCTTCCTTAAAAATCCAAACTAAATCACAAACATTCTTTAAAACTCAGAAAACTTAGTTTATGGAATTTTTGATAATTAAATAATTTAAAAAAAAAACTTTATATTCTTCCTGTGTTGCCTGTGGTCGAGGTCACTGATTGATTGAATGATTGACTGATTGCTGGAACAATGGAGAGTTCGCACCAATTATGGCAACTCGCCGATGCAAGCAGCTCCTCGGGTAACCCTCGTCACGGTCTCTCCCTCCCTCTCTCCTTCACTATTGCTAGTTCCATCTCGCTTTTGTCAATTGAAAAACGTGTGGGTGAGGCGGGGAAAATGCCAGCTTTTCCAGGGCTTTTCACGGGGCTCCAGGTGCGAACGGGGCACGCTTAAGTGGGCACAGACAGACACACTTGACAAGACCACTAAAATCGATACTGCCCCCGGGATACCCTGTACTTTTGGAATATGGCAATATGCGTTATAAGATTTTGAAAGGGAATATGATAAGGCTATATGGAAAATCAATAAGTTTTAAGAAAGAATAATTACTAAAGAAATAGAAAATCAAATTAATGTTTAATTTTTTTATCTATAATATTTATACAAGTTTTTAAAGATATTTTTTTATATTTTTATTTATAATATATATTAATAAAATATTTATAAGTATAAATAAGATAAAACAATTATTTATTTATTAGTGTAGCAATTGTTTATATTGTTTTTATTAATTTAAATATTATTTAAAGATGGGGATATGGCTTAGAAAACTTTGAAAAATAATTATTAATTTATATTGTCTAAAAGTTATTTTTATTTTTAAGAGTTTACAAAATCTGCTTATTAAAAAAGTACTATATATTACTGACTTCTTTCCTTAAGAATTTTATTGAAAAATAATAATAAATAATAATAAAAAATTATACAATTAATCTCCTTGATTTTTGTGGCTTTAATAAATGAAATTAAACTACAAAAATACCTAAAATATACATCATAAATATATATACAAAAATATATACAGTATAAAAGCAAACCACAACCTATTTGCCTGAAATAATATACCCATTATATATAGACCCTGCTGTCCTGACCAGCCTAATTACCTATGCAAACAACGAATATATATGGCCACAACCACAATCCATAATCCATATACGAATATATATGTATATTGCCGGGCTTATCTCTGCGATTTCATTTTGCCAAATGCATATTTCAGTTTCAATTTCGATTTCCAGACTAATTAATGCACATTTTTGGGCCCAATTAGGCTCAGCCAGCTCCAATTTTAAGCCAAAATGCGAGGTTTTTTGGCCAAAAGCAGCATGGAATATGGAATTATCAAAGGGTTTAAGCGGGAAAATCAACTAAAATTGGTTAACAAATTGGTTTGAAAGTTGTTTTCTTTTAAGTTTAATTTATTTGGTATTTAATATCATTTATTTTTTAATTTATTTAATTGATTTTAGAATTTAAAGAAAGCCTTTTCAAAGTATTTTTTTAATAGAGACTTTCTTCTAAAGAATTTACTTTAAAGAAAATGTATAAAAATAAATATTACATTCTATACATTTTCTTTCTCCCCCCTTTTCCCCCTTTTTTCCCAGAAAATTAAAAAGCCAATTGTGTGTGTTTCGAGTTTATACAATATAATTATAATTTCATTATTCAAATACAGTCTTAGTTTCTAGCGCAAAAAAAATAATAGTTACAATATAGGAGATGTATATATATGATATATAGATTCCTGTGAAATCGATTCTTCGATTGGCATTGCTGGGCAATGATTGATTGATTGTTAGATTGATTGTTGCTTTGATTGCCGCCGCCCAACTGTTTGACAGCTGGCACACCTGTTGCCAGTCCCCCAAGATCATCATCATCATCGCTGATCCACTCCGAACCAGGCGGAGTTGGTGCGATGAGGTGAGAGAGCCTATGCGCCTACAGGTCTGTGGTTATGGTGTGCGTGTGCCCCGCCAGCAGCTGCGAGGTGGTGTACAGCGGCTCCTCCAACTCCAACTCCTCCTCCTCCTCCTGTGCCATGTGTATGTCCACCTTGAACCGCTTGGCCGCACTCTCCATCTCCTCGAGATCCGTGTAGCCGGGAAATCCAGTGGGACAAAAGTGACCGGCTATGGCCTCCGGTATGTGGGTCACATTGTGCAGCATGTGAGCCGGGGTGGATTGCAAATAGTTGCGCCACTTGTGGTACGAAGAGCTGGGCAACTCACCAGCGCCTCTCCTTTGGCTGATGGGCGATGAGGTCTTGGGCATGATACGCTGGGCCCGCTGCATCATGTGCATCTCCCACTGGAGGTTGCCCACCAACGAGGGAGAGTTGCTGGAGCCGCTGGAGCTACCACTTCGTTCCATATCCTGGGTTATTAGAGGTTGCTTTCGAGGCGAGGAATCGGCACTGCTGCAGGTGTAGTAGCCACAAGAGCGTTCCAACTGATCCGGCTGCTCGGCAAAGTCATCACAAATGGGCTGCTGGCTGGTCTTGCTGCGGCTCCAAATGCTGCGGCTACTCGAACCAGAAGACGAGTTGCTGCCCAGGCCGCTGCTGTTCCTGCTGCTGTACAAACGCTTCAAAGAGCGACTGCCACTGGAAGCCACATAGATGCTGTTGCCCAGGGACAACTCCTTGAGTTTCAAACTGCTGGCACAACAACCCATATTGATATTTTCTGGCTGAGATTTATTTCAAAATATTTTCTCTAAGAGGTGTTCTTCCTTCAAGGCGGCTTGATCAACTGCTTGGCTTGGCCATAAATCGCGGGGTTCTTATACCAACAGCAGGTAGGTAAGTGGCCAAGCGCAGGACTTCCAGGAATCGCTGGCCTGGGCTACCTGATTCGCCATCCTGGCCTAATCCGCGAGCGGGATTTCATGAAAACACATACCTACACATTTATGGCCCAACCATTTGGTGGGTGTAGGTGGGTGAATGTTACCTGGGACTTGAGGCGACCTTGATTCGAGGCACTTTCGTTTTGGCCAACGAGTTAAGGAGCCCAGGGATCATCTCATCGTAGAAGAACTCCTAATGTCATAGCTCAACCCTTTGGGTTTTATATGCTTTTCTCTTCATTTTTATTTATATTTTTTTGGCTGTATATATTTCAACTGTAAGAAGATAGAGGAAAGTGTCCTGTCTGTGTCCTGCTGCTAGGCCCATTGTTTGGCCTCGTCCTGTGTCTGGCTCTGGACTGACCTTGGTTTATTGTCCTGCAATTTTGATGGCCAGAATTTTTCTATCCTCTCTGCAATTGTTGTGCAAACGCCGTGGCGCAGTCCTCGGAACGCCGTTAACGCCGGCCACAAGTCCTGCTGTCCGTCCTCGTTTTTGGCCAAATTAAAAACCAAGCATCTGGCCAAAGGCACCGACTGCGATCTGCTTTTCTAGAATTTTCAAGGGAAATTCCTCAATGGACAGAGGCACCTCCTCCCATTCAAGGACAACGAAAGCAAGCTGAAATGAAAGCGAACTTGCCAAACAAGGAAAATGAATATGGAAATTGACAAGGAAAATGGATATGAAAAGCGGCCTTGGGAAAATGGAGAAATGTTCAATGAAGACATGATGAATGGCAGATGATGGCGATGTCCAGGGAACTAGAGATCCTTTCTCCAAGGATTTCCACGTCTACCAATCTCTATCTAATCCTGGAAACAAAGTAAAAGAAAACCCCTTAAAGGGGGCAGCAACTCAAAACTACTCCCTCTGTGACTTTGGGAATGCGGGAACTGCACCGAGTCCCTGGCACGTGACAATCCTTAGCACCCTCTAGGTGACTCCTAGTTAACCAAAGGACTCTTTACTTAACTTCAGGCCTCATTTGACTATCGCACATTTGCCGTTCGTTGCATTTTCACACGCAATCAACGAAATTCCCGCATATTTCTTTGTTTTTCCGCCTCGCGGAATTTCCATTCGCCTCTTGTGGTTCTCTCTATGTCGCCCTGTAGTATTTTTCCAATGCTTTTTCCAGTCCGGGAGTTTCCCGTGTTGATCCCAGCGTATCTGCATCCAAATCTGCATCCGTTGGTTGTGCCAGTCGGTCACGTATGTACTGAAGGCACGTGATGGTTGGAGCAACGGAACCGGAAACGCCGGCGAAAACGGAAGTCAAAGGGCTCCCAGTGACCAAGTGCACTGTCAGAAAAACATATTGAGTGCTATAAAAATAGGGGAACTGTAAGGGAAAAAGAAAGTGAAAATGAAAATGGAAGTGAAAGTGAAACTGAAATTAGCACTTAAAATGAAATCTAAAGCTCTCATTCGGGGTGAAATAAGTCCATAAAAATCGAGTCTTTAATATGTATTTTATAGATTATATATTTAAGTATATATTTTATTCTAAATTATAAATATTTGTATGTTATATTATCAAATTATATTATATATTTTTGATCAGAAAACCAAATCAGCGAATTGTTAGTACAGTTTCAGCAGTAAAATTTTGCGTTTAACAGAAATCCGACTTGAGAATTATAACGCTTCTTTACAAGCCTCAAATGAATAAATTTTTTTTATTTTATTTTTTTTATTTTAGTAAATTTAAATTTTTTTTTTTTTTTTTTTTGCATTATTTTGTTTTTATTTATTTAATTTATTTTATCTTTTTTATTTAATGTAATTTAATTTATTTTTTTTATTTAATTTAATTTTTTTTTTAATTTTGTTTTATTTTCGTTATTTTATTTTTTAATTAATTTATTTTTTATTGTATAATTGTTAATATTTTCTCCCAGTGCAAGTCACTTAACTTTAGAGCAGCATCCTCAAGCTGTGAGTACAACGAAAGGCCAGGTTCAAGGACAGGAAGTAGGCTGTATCCGCCAGTTACTTGTACTCACTTAAATGTATCTCCAAAATGGAACCTAGGCACGTTTAAGGAATGACCCTTGACAATTTGGCCAACTAAATGCAAAGCTATACACTCAAGTAACAACCATTCCCCCCTCTCTCTCAACTACACTTCCAAGCCTGGTCCATGGGTGGATGCTCGTTGTAATATTCCATCAGAAGCTTCATTTCGTCCAAACCCTCACTGATTTTACGAATAGTCGCATGGAGCATTTGGTTGGCAATAGAATTGTCGTCATTACCATCATTCAATGGCCTACCGAATACCCTGTGAAACATCACATGGGCCTCAGCAAAATAATTGCCAGTCATCCTAATCACACGCAAGTTTAGATCCTCGGGGGACTGGATTAAGTGCTCGTCCAGCTGTTGGGAGAGCAGCGACCACTGGCCGTTGAAGTAATTGCGCAACGTGGCATCAAATTTGTTGGAAATGGCCGCCAGGCTTCTTAGGTGGTCACGGCACACCTGCTCCTGGGCCTCGGTCATGGGATTGGGACGATCATCTGGCTTGTTGACAAGCTTTTTGGGTTTTTTGTTGCATGGAACTGGTGGTCCCTTGGGTAGCTTGGCGATGGTGCGATCAAAGAACTTCTGCAACTGGACACCCTTGCGATAGATGGAAGTGCCAGGCGAGTGGAACTTGTAGCAGTTGCGGTATATCTGACGAAAGTCCTCGATGGCCTCAGCCACGCTGCGATAGTAGTTGTTCTCCACACGCTGAGCGATGGTGCCCACGTCCATCGGACGACGATATTTAGTGGGAATTTCTTCTTCTTAAGAGCTCCCACTATGACCTTCATTGCGTATGCAGTGCCCAAACCGCATTTACTTCAAAGTGAGCCACTGCACCGACACTTTGAACTCGCAACATTGTGGCAGGAATCTCGGCCAGAGTCAAGTCCTCACGAGAAGCTCTCTCTCTCTCCTTCTGACTATTAAATGCAGGGGGATTCCGCCTGAAGTCCCCAGGGAAATGGCCACGAAATTGAAATGCCATTGACACAAAAAGACACACGCCGAGGGGAAGAGAGAAAGAGAGACCAGGACTAAGTCCGAGATCTACCAGTCGGGGAAAAATCCAAAAATAAAATGAGGGAAAACTAAAAGCCAAAGACGTGCCCGGGACCCCAAATCGGTGCAATGGAAATGAAAACTAAAAAAAAAAAAAAAAAAAAAACTGGGAAAACTACAGAGGAGAAAAGTAGAGGAAAACTTTTTGGTCAAGGCGAGAGTTTTCTAGAATTTTCTGCAGTCAAGATATAGCTTTTTGAATTGAAATTTATTAAAATTTATTTAAGTTGAAATTAATTTTCTAAGATTTGTTTAATTTAAAGTTTTAATTTAAAAAATAATATAATATAACATAATATAAAAAAATAATAATAATAAATAATAATAATAATAATAATAAAATTAAAAACTTTACTTAATATTTGTAAAAAAATTATAATATCACAATGAAAGCCTTTTTTAATATTAAAAAACCATTAAAATACCACATTAAAAACTCTCCTTAATATTTAAAAAATATTAACCTATTTAAGACACTCTAAAAATCTGATAAAAAAAATAATTTTAACTAAATTTTTTATTGCTGTGTAAAAACTTCTAAGTTAAATGCAATTTTTAGCAAATGTTATTGCCTTTTTTTAATTTAAAAATTTAAAAAGAGATACCTTATAAATTCTCCAAAATATATATTTAATTTAGGCCCATCTCTTTCCCTCGAAAAAAACCTATTAAAATTTTTTTTTCCAGTTTTTGTTGGCCCAAGTTATAGCTTTATATTTTATTTAAAAATGTAAATTACCAACCCAACTAATTTGCTCTTAATATTTTTAAAAATATTAATCCTTGTAAGTCTGTTAAAAAATACCCATAAAATATCACTTTTGACTCCCCTTTTTTTGTTGCCGTGTAACCAAAACTCCGTTGTTTGTTGCATTCATTTCATTTCATTTTTTTGTTTTGGCACAAGTGCAAGCCAAGCAATTGTCCTGGATTCCGGCTAGGATACTTTTTTATTGAGCTGACCAGCTGGCTGAGAGCGGAAAAAGGAGGTCTCCTCCGAACAATGGCAGGGACATGACCGATTCCAGGACCCAGGACTAGGGACATCTGTGATCAGGAGCATCAATGCAAGCGAGCTCTTACCTCGGTGTTCTGTTTTTCTGTTTACCATATTTTTTGTTTACTTTCTTTTTATAACAAAAACAGAAAAAAAAAAAAAACATGAACGGGCGGGACTGAAAAATGTTTGTGGAAATGGCAATGAAAAATACGCAAAAATCCGAATGGTGGTGGGCAGGACTAGGCCGCGGAATATATATATATTTTGTTTACGAAACACATTTTCCGTGTATCGGCGGCGGCAACTCCTTGGCCCTATGGCCATAAAGCCATAAACCGAACCGCGTGCTGAGGTCCTGCAGGATCCTGGTACCCAGGTACCCAGGTAAATATAGGTAGGTATCAAATATTATAGCGAAGCTGATGATGATGATGGTCGCACTTGTTGATCCTGCGACAGGGTCAAGTCAATAGAGAGAGAGTGAGACATTGCTGTGGGCGCTCGGAAATGCCCATGGGCATTTCCGCATCCTTGCGGGAAATTCTCAGTCGTTGAGCCGGGGGAAAAACAGTATCCACATGTGTTCGTTCCTGGGCGAGGCTACTTAGGCTCTAATTTCCACATTACGCCGTCATCTCTAGCCACCTGATGCCAACGCAGCTGGATCCCAGATGCAGGACTAGATCAGTGCAGGCCGGGATTTGCCCGCAGGCCAGGACCAGGTGCAGGGGTGTCCTTGAGCTTGAATTTGGTCCACTTGACCGCAGGAAGGCAAGTGCAGGTTTGAAAACGGAAGTGTAAGTGAAATGTCGAGGATTATTGGCTAAAGTACAGTCTCCTGATTTATTCGAAATTTATTTTGAATATTTTAAGGAAAAAAATATGAATTCCTTAGCTGAATCCTTGCTTATTCCTCTGTTATTTCCTGGCAAATACTTGAAGCCCCCCACTTGAGTACAGTTGTGCTTAAATGCTGAAATATCTCTCTTCTGAGCCACAATTAAGCGTGTTCTCCATTTAACCATTGGAGGAGAGTGGCTCCTCCCCCTGTTTTACGAGTGCCACTTTACGTGCCCATCGCTGGTTTCCTGCTTACTTTTTTTGCCAGCTTTTAAAGTGATTTTGTTGTTAGTGGGACTAAGTGCACCCACTTTGGCTATCCTTAAAGTTGTGCCTCAGGCTTTATTTCCTTATCTGCGCGCCTTTGGGGTATGCAACACTTTTTTGTCCACTGAGAAGAAGGAATTTCTAGGTAGGGTATTGGGAAGTTATAGAGGGTGTATCAGCTATGAATTAGAAATACATTGAAAATAAGAGTTGAAAAGAAATATTAAATAATTAAGGAGTGATTGGAAGAAATAAAAAATTCTTAATTTTAATTTTAAAAATTAAACTAAAAATCTATAAAATAAAATTCGAAATATGTTTTCTGGAAAATTATACATTAACGCTTAGAAGGATCCAGAAATTCCCGAAATAAGTGAAATATTTTTAATATTAAACCTTAAAGAATTTTATTCCTTTTAAATTAACGTTTATAAGGACCCAGAAATTGCTAAAATAAAGGTTATAATAAATATTACCCTTTAAAATATATTAACTTGTTAATTAACTATTGGAAGCATCCATAAATTAAGCAACACAAAGAAAATTTCCCTTATATTACCCCTTAAAAAAATAATAAATTATAAATTAACGTTTGGAAAGTCCCCAAAATTGACAAAAAAAAGTAATTACACTTTATATTACTGCTTAAAAAATAATTATTTAAAAATTAACCTTTAGAAGCGCTCAGAAATTGTCCAACAAGAAGGAAATGTCCCTGATATAACCTCTTAAAAAATAGTAAATTATAAATTAAGGTTTGGAAAGTCCAAAAATGGCTAAAATAAAATAATAGCATTCTTTAATATCCCTTAAAAAATAATAAATTGTAAATAAACAATTAGAAAGACCTTTAAAAAATCCTAAAATTACCCCTTACTTTCTGTTTTCTTTTCTTAAATATATCTCTTTTCAGAATTAAATCTAAAATAAAGTAACTTTTAAATACCAATTCCTTACAGTGTTGCCTGTTCTCCTCCTAACTTTCCAGGGTATCTCAGGACTCGTTACCCCTTGCATTCCCTGTGTCTCCTTTGTTGAGCTTGGCATTCTCTGTGCCTTTTTTGAAGCCTTTTGCATGCGTCACGTTGAATTGAGTTGAATTCTTATATGCACATATATACAACTATATATATATATACATCTATATATGTATATATATACATCTACTTAAATCAAGTAAGCTGCTTTGAGTACACCTGCCCCTTCTTTCAGTTTGGATTCCCAGGAAATCCACAACATGAGGCAGACATCTTTTCCCCTCCTGTTATCGTAGAAAATCAATAGAGTTTCCCCACTGATAATTGTGTTTGTGTTATGACTTGTCTCTCCTTCCCCTCCCCCCATTTCTCTCAGTGTCTGTGTGTGTTCTTATGAATTATTGAACGGCTTATGGAGTTTTTTGTTGTGTTGTTTTTATTTTTTTTCTCCTTGTGATGTTTATTTACATCTGTAATCCGGTCTCCAATTTTTTGTACTTTGTTTGGCAAAAACTTTGTGCTTTTGCTTTTGCATTTTAGCAGCTTAAATGAAACAAATAAAATATATATTATATATACAAATGTGTCTCCAATGTCCAAAACGGCTGAGGCAAGCGTCTTTATAGAGTTAGGAAAAACATTTAGTGGAGATTAGTGGTGAAAGTGTGACAGGATTTGGGTTTTTTGATAAACAAAGTAATTTATTTATTTGTTAGAAAATAAATTTAATTGTTTATTATTATTAATTAAATTAAACTTGTGGTTAATGTGTTAATTTTACTAGACTTCTGTTTGATTTAAATTTATACAAGTGAAAATCTATTAAAATTATTAAGCAAAATTAAATAAATTAAATGGAAATTTGCATAATTATATTTGTACACTGAGATAAAAGCCTTTCCATATAAACTTCTTTATAAAATAAATGTTTTTTAAGAAATAAAACAGGAATCTAAGCCGCTATTCTGCTAAAAAAAAATATATAAATATAAATATTCTTTAATTAAAAAATATCTTGAAAATGATATACAAATTTATAAATTAGTTTTATTATTATTTGTTGTATTACCTATTTAATTTTTAATATTATTTTAAATTATTATTATTGTATATATAGATTTTATTAATCTGTAAATTAATTATAGAAAATGTTCTTAGTTTTATAATATTTTTTGTTGTAATTTTTATATTTATTTTCTATTTATTTTTCTATTTTTCCCCAAAAAATCTCTCTTTTAATTAATTAACCATCTGCACTTTCTCCAGACTCTGCTCCTCTTCTTAACCCCCGCAAAAAACCCCTGCTGTTGCTGCTGCTGATGACTCACAAATTGCGTAAAATGTTTTTCTTAATTGCCGGACTTCCTCCAGAGTCCTGCGTCCTTTGTCTAAGGGCTACTGATTATTAAAATTGCATTCCGACGCTGTTGTGTGGGTTGTTTGTTTACTCTAATGAGCATTTAATGGCCGATTCCCAACCTGGTGACACACACACACACACTCTGAGAGGGAAACTCGTTGAAAATCGTTGAAAATCAAGCAAGAACGAGAGGTCCTTCCGGTTTTGCACTTTACCCTTTTTGGGCTCTCCCCTCTCTCTAATTTCGGTTTTATTACACTTTTCCCAGTTCATTACCTTGTCTCTCGTATATATATTTTCCTCCTTCCGTTTTTGTTGCGGCTTTTCATTCATAAATTACGGGGAAATTCGCCAGATACAAGTAAGGTTGTATTGTTTTTTTCTTCGCCGGAATTCCCCGTACTTACACACACATCCTTTTCATGGATAGCGATCCTTTGTACTTATCCCTGTGGGAATTGCGTATAATTTGCGCATGTTAATTAGCTCATTTCGGGACATAGATTTGAGCCCATCGTCGAACACATGTAATTAAGCAAATTAGGCAAATGAAGCAACTAAATAAATAGTTCATGGCTGCCGGGGGGTTGTCTATGTGTGTGGGTGGGTGTTTTTGGGGGGGGGGTTGCTAAACGCTTTCAAGGTCACTTGCCTGGCTGGCTGTCTTAATGACCCGTTGCCTTGCTTGGAAGAGTCGGGTTTTTGCACTGTAAAAAATAAGGGAATGTGGAATAATATTACTTTAATTTATTTAAATTATTAAAAAAATGTATTATTTTATTTGTTATTTTTTTAGTATTCATTTTTAAAGGAAACATATTTCTATCGTATATTAAGTTAAATTTTTACAATATTTTTTTGCTAATTATTTCAATATAAAATATTTAATTAATGAATAACAAATTATTTATTATTTATTTTTATTTGTACTTGTTTTTTTATATTTATTTACAAGTTACATTTTTAAGATATTCTTTCCATAATAATAATAAGTTTAAAGTTAATGCTTTATATTTTTATATTTAAAATATTTATATATGAAAATTCACTTTATTTTTAAAAGATCGTTGTAAATATTTTAAAAATTTTTACATTTTTAGTAAAAAATTTAAAAAGTTAATTGTTGTAATTATTTTTCACAGTGCCATCCACTTTGAGAAAGGTTTCTCGGGTCTGGTCCCGGGACCCACCTGATCGCCTAGGCTTAGTCTCTGTTTTTTGGGGGTTTCTGGTGAGCCCATCTCATGTGGTTCTCGGTTTCTGTGGCTGCCAGCCTGTTTTGGGGGCCATTCATCATCGAAAACACACATCTACAGCCTCGACTGGCAAACTTTTAATGCACTAAATAACTATGGAAAGTTGGCACGTCTTGGGGTTGAGATGTTGTGGCCATTAGGGGGGAGTGTGTATAGCAAGAAAGTTAAGGCAAGGCTAGAACCCATTTGCATAAGCTCAAAGTGAGAAAAGTGCAGTGGCAGCACTTTAGACAAACTTCCAGCAACGTCAGCAGCGCGTCTAGAAAACTTCATCCTTGACACTCCACACACACACACGCCCCCTCCTCCCCCCTCTTAGCAATCATCTGGGGATAAGCATGGCCATATATGATCCTTTAAGTGCTGCACGATTGCATAATAGACGGAATTTTCAAGTGCTAACTTGGCATAATTCCTTCTTGGCCATCAAATCTGTGCGTTGAGTGTGTTTATTGCATTTTATTTATGCGGCCAGAGCCAAGTTTTCAAGGGTCCTTGTGGGAAAGGACTTGGAAAGGGTCTTTAAGAAAGTTGTTTTATTTATATTTAAATTGTTAATGAATTTATTATTTATATAAATTTAATTTCAAGTCAAAAGTCTCCTTCACTGCGTTGCAAACTTCTGACAGAAATTATAATACCCTGCAAGGGTATAAAAATAATCTGGCTCGAAGGACCAAATAATAACAGTTTGCTCTTAAATAAATAATAATTAAATTAATATAGAATACAAGTATTTTTAATAATTTCTTCAACTCTTTTCACTTTTCCAGTCGTCAGGCTGGAGGTCCTTGCCGATGAGGAGGTAACCACAGCATCCAGTCTCTCGGAAGGTGAGTTCTTCATATGAAATGTTTAAAAAAATAACCCCAAAATCTTGGTACAGAATGGGGCTCCGGCTGGCGTGGTACCAACTTCCTGGTGGAGGTGGAGCAAACCGCTCCCATGTCGCCGCCATCCTCATCCTCGGCCTCCTCCAATGGCAGCGAGGACTATATGGGAGAGCTAAGCAGCCAGGAGGTGGACGAGGGCTTCACCACGGGCGCCACCACAGGAGGAGCGTCCAATAGTAGCACTGCCGTGGAAACAGGTGAGTGATTTAAACTTAAGAAAAATACTCACTTTTATTTTTTAAAAACAGCTTAATTTATTTAAATAATTTCCTTAAAATCCCATTTAAACTAAGCTTAGATTGGGCGAGATTAGGGGTGTTTCCCTCTCGCATTTTGATTTTCCCTGGATTTCTACAGAGTTTTCCCCTCGTTTTCCCAGCAAATATTGAGCTTTCGTGACTCAAATTGAAGCCTCAAGACACACGCACACGTGGACGGGTGAAATCCCTGGCTGGATTTAGCTGGCTGCGATTTATTTAGGCTTCTAAAGTCTCCGATTCCCAAATCCCCCCACACATATCCTGTACTGTTGTCCTTTTTATTTCCAATCGCACAATTGTTTATCGCGAAGCGACGATAATTGAATTCGAGCCTGATTTATGTGCGGTACGTGCGACCAGTTTACAGTCGCTGCAAATCCATTTTGGAGACCTGGGCCTGAGTGGCGAAACGAAAATAAACAATGTGCAAATGCTGTGTATCCTTGCAGGACCCAAGATCATTGTGCGCACCGAGGAGGTGCTGATTGTCGGCCTCGTCCTTGTCCTGTGGGTGGGCGCCATCATGCTGTTCTTCAATCGCTGGGGCAAGATCCGGATGCTGGAGCCGTATCAGCCCAAGTTTCAGCAGCAGCATCGCAGCTCCTGTCCGCTGGTGGATCTGGATGCAGTTCAAACGCATCAGGTAGGTCCTGGTAAAAATAATAATCATTTCACTGATATATGAAATGTATACATTTTTTAATTTATAATTTTTTTTTAAATTTTTATTTTTATTTTTTTTTGCCTTTGCAGCGCTCCTCCGTATCGCGAATGTCGATGGGCATGGTGCACAATCTGAATATGCCGACGTGTCAATTTGCGGCCTATAATCCCAACATTTATGCCAAGGGTATGTACTGCCTCCTCTGTCTGTCCTTTTTTCTCTGTCACCCCCTTACCAGCCATACGCTTTTTCCACTTTTTCCACTTTACCCACCAATGTCCCATGTCACCACCCGCCACCCAAGCCGCCGCCTACCCTGAATGCAATTAAAATCGAACATCCATCGAGCTCAAAGTATCCCCCGCTTGTACTGCATACTTTTATGCATAGCCCAGGGCTGCACAGTGGCTGTCTATCGAAAGGGAAATAAGTTATCGATAATGAATATATCTTTTAAAAATATTGCAATAATAAATAGCAGCAAATTTTGATTTTATTTTAAATTTGAAATAAAAAAACAACATATTTCAGTAAATATATATAATAATAATAAGAATATACATTCAAATCATGATATATTCTTGTGATATGATATAATTTAATGATCTAAAAAATAATATTAATTTAATTTCCAGTTTTTTAGACACATTTATTAGTTTTTAAACTAAAATCAAAAGGTTTTTTGCTATATAGCAGAGGCTCGTAGGACATTGTTCAGAGACCTAAAGCTTACCTAGTGATTTATGGAATATAGATTTAGATTACTTCCACTTCCGCTTAATGAACTGCCCAACATATGCTCGAGTCTGAGAAGCGATCCCCTCCAGCTCTGGGGAATTAAGTACCTCCGCCACTCCAACACTCCTTCAAATGAGAATCGAAATACTTATGCGTAATGCGCGCTAGTTGAAGCGTTTGTTAATGCCTCCGCCACGCCCCCCATTTGCTGGTAAATACAGCATTTAGTTGTAGTCACTTTCCCTGTTCCCTCAGCTTCGCTTCTCTCTTTTTTTTTTTTTTTTAATGAGTTGCCAGACAATTACGTTGAAGGCAGCGGAGCGCAAGCGAAGCAAATAACAATACAATTTTAATGCCACTGCCGGATGATGGGGCTTCCCCTCCAGGATTTCCCTCCCTCGCTCTCTCTCTCTTTTTGCGCAATTAAATCGCATGGCAACGCACATGAGGAGCACACGGACAAGGATAAAAGCTGTAGACAGCGGAAAGTCTATTAAGTTGAGTCAAGACACTGCAGCGTGGCTTTCGGGGGGGTTCAGGATGCTGGCCTACATTTTAAATCAATTTCTAAATCGAATGTCTGAGCAAAAGTAGTTTGAGATGCGACAAGAGACATCTGGAATATCAATCATTCATTTATCTCAATTAGGGATTATAAGGAATCGCTCTAAAATATAAATAATATTATATTAAAACCTAGTTTATTTCCTACATTTCCTTCCAGGCTACGCCTCTCATGTGTCCCAAGTGTCGCGTCCGCGCCAGAACTCGGTGTTTGTGGGCGCCAGCACCAGTCACTACCTGATGCCGCGGCCTCCCAGGAAGACCCGCTCGGCGATGGACCTGCACTCCATGGTTCTGGACGAGAGTGCCGAACAGGTGTAGGGTCTGGAATTAGGGTATGAATAATCCTAAGAGAGAGCCGAACAAGTCAAAAGTCAAAGGGGGGTGGGCGCATGTGACTCATTTTCTTCTGTGGGAAAACAAGTAGTAATTTGTGGCTAATAAAATTTGTAAAATAAGTTGAAAAAAATGACATAGAGATTCTGAAATTCAGGATTTGTATATTAAAGTTTTTGAAAATTCGGGGGGAGAATTTGGGAAAAAATAAAGGAAAGAAAGGAAATCTTTAAGAACTCAAAGTTTGAGCCCTAAAAAGTATGCTTTCTTTTTTCTTTCTATTTTTTAAAAACCTCAAATTCCTTTTAAATTAAAAAGAATATTTTTGTAAATTTACAACTGCTAAAAACATACTTAAAACCCATTTTAAACCTTACTTTGATTTATAAAAATATTCATGTTCCTTTTTTTTTGCCTTTTCCGGAAGCTCCCCAGAATTTTCAAAAACCCAAAGGCTTCGCGTAAAATACAAGGAATTTTGTTATTAATATTTAGTGTGGGGAAACAAAAGGCTACAATAAATTTGTTTATTGATTTTATTTAAGTATTTAAGTGGTTTCCAGAGACGGAAGAAAATGGGTTAAAAATGGCAGTTAACACGAGATTAATATATATAAAGATAATTTTTTTTTGTGGATATACGCACTGTCCAATATTTGCAACTGGTAGAACTACTACCTCTATCATCCTCTCGAGTTCTTTCTGTGCTGGCACAGAGTCAATTTGCGTCAATTTTGGATATCATTTGGGGCCAGCTGAGTGCTATGACACCAGCTATCGGCAGAGCACTGTTGCTGGTCGATTATTATATCTAGAGCTATCGATTGTAGATTGTATTATTAGCCCTATCCTAGCCAGTGTTACCTTAACCTTAGCTTACCAAGTTTTTTCCCAACTCTAACTTAGCGTGTTTTTTCGACATTTACAACTACAACTACACAGTTATTGGATGCCAGAGCAAATTGTTAGGAATATATATATCCAGTATATCCCTGGAACGGAACTCGTTTAGTTCATAAGCCCGAAAGCTCAAAATATAGATCAAATACTCGACCAAAATAACCAAATTGAGACCCTCTCTTTTACTTTAGAACCGATCTTAGGTCTCTCTCTCTCTCTCCCAACCAACTCTTAACTAACTTGTAAGTAATTTCGACCAACAAAAATGGTAAACTGAGAAAACTGAGCAAAAGGACGAAAGGAAAACCAAAGAACAACTAACTAACGAAAGCTTTAAATTCCTTGGGTCCCTTCGGAGAGGGGAAGGACCCGCAAAACCGAAACAAAGAAACCCATCCAGATCGAAGTACTATATACATATATATATATATATATATATATATATATAAAACTAACTAAAGCTGAGAACCGTACTTTAGGCTTAAGGCATACGAATAGGAGATCAAAATACGTGGATCAATGTTATCTCTCACACATCTCTCTAGTCGGACAGTTTCTTCACACAACTCGAATGAATACGAATGAATATAGTATATAACGAACAATTGTTGAATATGAATGTTTAATTAACGTGTTTACAATATTTACAAGGCCTGAGCAAACCAATTATATATTGTACTTGTGTACTATATCAAAAGCTATACTATATATACATATACATTATATTATATATGGGTAAAAAAGAAAACAAAAGCGAAACAAAACAATTATATACATTTTGATGAATTCAATTAAAATATGAAATTATATTTGAGGCGAAAGAAAAGAGTGTTTTGGTTTTATTTTGGTAAAAAAGATGGAAAAAAGGTGAGATAAGTGTAATATATATATATATATATATATATATATATATATATATTATATATCTTTAATATCTATATACCATATTCCAGCTAAGAGTCTCCTGCTTATTTTATAAATTTAAAAAATTAAACTAGAAGTTGCCAAGTTTTACAAACTTCGGTTTGGCCTTGCTTTTCAAAGTGACCACTTCTTGCTTCTGCTCTGTGGCATTTTCTCTCTTTTCTACTTTGGTCACTCTAAAAGGATGCATCCTTCAGTTGGTTGCCAACAAGGTCATCATGGATCTGGCTTTGAGCTCCATGAAGTTGGCCCTTGGTAATCTTATGCTTAAACCGTTCAATCTGGAAGTGATGCTGATGAAACCGGGGTCGCAGAGCCACAAGTTTACCGAAAAAGATCTGGAGGAGGATATTTAGCGTTTACAGGATTCTGAGGAATGGTTTGAAGACATTTAAAGCGAAACTTTGATGATTACAAATTAATTAAGGGAAACCCTCCTAAAATAGTGGTTAAATTACAGGACATAAAATAGAGAGCTTAATGAATCGTCACCCGCTGGGAAAGCCACATTCCACCAAACACATTTCACAGATGTCCTCGTTGTCGGCTTCGATTTAACACAAAAATGGCCAGAAGGGGATGAGGGGCAGGCCAATAAACGGAAGCCATTCCAAGTCTGGCCATTCTCGGGTTCAAGTGCAGGCGATTTATGATGCCGATGCCATTGCAGCAGCGAGAAGGAGCCAGCGGGTCAGCGAGGAGCGACCTTGTCGCCGCCGCGGGCCACAAATCAAATGGGCCAGCCAACCAGCCTCCCCTTTTCTTTTTCCTTTTTTCTTCGGGCCATGACACATTTTTGGGAGTAGCCCTTAGCCATTTCTGCAGTTTTCCCATAAAATACTAAGTGTTTTATTGAGTCCCATTGTCAAGCTTTGGGCACACACTGAGGGAAAGTGGAAGGGATATATATAGATAATCTATATTATTATATTTTAACTTAAGAGAAGTTTACTAAATTAGGGTACTTTCTTGTATAAATTAAAAATGTATTTAGCAAGGCCTTAAAACATATCCTGAATTGATATTAAATCCCAGAAAGCTCTTGGAATATTTGCTGACTTAGCAGGGATTCTCGCTGGGACTCCTCAAGGGTTCGAAGAAAGCTCGTAAAATCATTTAAATAAAAAAAAGCAACTCCCATTGTTCGCACACTTGCCAACAAAATTATGGACATTCAGCCGGAATCTAATCGCCAGCTGTAGCCAACAAAATGTTTAACGATGGCCCCGGCCAATCTGCATAACAATGTGAATTAATTTCAGGGCCCAGCCACATGCCATATAGTACACTTAGAGACCAGGGAGAGGTGGCGGAAGTGTGTCAAAGATTGATTGACAAGGTCAAAGGGGAGGTAGGGAGTCTGCGTAAAAATCTAGGACAAGTGCCCGGCTCGAGTGGCTAATCAAAAATGCTTAGCATTATGTTTTTTCCCTGAAGCACGGAGCTGGGGAATAAGGTTCTAGATTTATGGACCAAAACTTAATTGCCTGTGTTTGCCGATTTTCGTGAACAGGAGTTGTCCTTTAGCAGGACACAATTTATGCAGTTGCTGAAAATGTATGCATTTAATTTGTATTTTTTTAGGGACTCTAAATTTATGTATTTTATATGATAATTTTTAGGATAAATCAAATTTAAAAATATTATAACTAAGCTAAAAATTAACCACCTTCTGCTACAAATATGTTGAAAAACCCACTCGCTTGATACTATAATTCCCAACTAGTTCTGGTATCTTATGAGTGGTAAACCAGCTGAATGTTGAGGTGCTTTCTTTTTTATATTTTTAAAAACCTTCTTAATTAATTTATTCCAATATTTAAAAAGTTATAAATTAACATCAAAAATTTATTCGTTAATCATTAGCTTTTCAGCATTTTATCTGTAACTCCCAAATAAGCAGCATTTCCGTTTCCGAAATTACTCTGATATCCTTTAGCATTCGTAAGGTTTTCCCCTCAATTTCAACTGGCTGCTTTTCCGTTTTTCAATTTACTTTTCGGCGCTTTTTCTTCGTTATCTTTGATTTGTCCACTGAGGGACATTTAAATGGAATTTCAGCTCGATTCCGTGTCCTGTGTACCGTCTCCTGTGTACCCTTCTGTTCCAGCAAACCGACCAGCACGCACGTCAGCCAGCTGGCTGTTGTTATTGTTGCGGCAACAAACGCCGGAAGCCTTCAGTGTCCTCCTCCGCCTCCCCCGGCTCTCCCCTCGCACTCGGTAATGTCTTCGTTTTTGTTGCAAGGACACCAAGCTACTGCGCACTTGCAATTCCTTTCATCCTTCGCAATTCCCTCCTCCCGCATCACATTTTCAGAGCAGCAGCTCCCTCGCTCCTTTCGACGTTTCCTCGACTTTTCCTGACTTTTCCCTACTCCCACATGAGCGATCACTTTAATTGCTGCAGCTTTATTTTGACGCTGGCTGCCGGTTTTTGGGCCATAAACGTAAATCAGAATTCTAGATGGCCCACAAAATCCATGATGACGTTTTGGGATTTTTCCCTCGCCTTGCACTTTTCTTTGAGTTGTAAAATCCACGGCCATATTTCCCCGGGTTAGAAAATAATTTAGTTTGAGGAGATTCTTTGATTGCAGCAGCAAAATCCTTTCAAAAAGGTTATAAAAACCCATTTTAAAATGACCTTTTTACAAGCACATTGACTCTGGATTTCCAACCATTAAAGATTTCTATGGCATCCTCAGACAAATGGAGCCTTTTTGACCAAATAAAATATATACATATTATATTTTTTTGGAACTGCAGCTAATCTGCCATCAGGACAAGGATATATGTGTGTATATTTTTTGAAATTTATGCAGAACGCTTGCTGTCCAGTCCTGGCCATTTAGCCTAATAGTTGGTCCAGCTGATGGATGGCCTCCCCCTTCCAAACGCCGTCCGCCTCCCCCTGCCAGCATGAATGATGGCCCACAATGTCCTGGGACTAGGACACGCACTAGCCCTGCTCGTACATCAAGTGCAAACAAACATGAAATTTGATTACCAAAACACGAGCGAGCAAGCGAACGCTCTGGCTAAAAGCCACTTGCCTTTGCAGCTTTTCCGCTTTCCCGGTTTCCCACTTTCCCGTTTCGGCCACTATGATTAATCGTAGCTGCACTTGCAGCTGCATTCGGGCCAGAAGCCACCGCCAGAACACCACCGCCGCCCAGTTAATCAGGAGGCGGATGGGAGCCAAGTGAGGCTGCTAATTATGTTGTGACTGCCACCGCCGACCTTGTCCAGGCCAAGCCAACCCCATGCCCACACCCCCCGCCCACTGGCCACCGCACAATGTGTGCGGTTTCTCACAATTCTGAGGCACTCCTTCTCCGTCGTCTCCAGTTACACTCGGCGAAAAGGTGGCCAGCATATAATTTTATTTAGATTTTAGCAAAATCGTTTTGTTTTAATTGTAATGCATCTTTTTAAAAATATGAGTTTATGTTAATTAAAAAACATTTAAACTCTACATGACACATACAAATTTAGTTTTGAAAAAATATTAAAAAACATTTTTAAATCGTATAAAAAAACTAATTTAGAATTAAAATATAAATTTATATTAATATTTATTATATATTTAAAGTTAAAGCTTCAAATAAAAATGTAAACAGAGAGGATCTAGGCTCCAGAGAGTGGGAGAGTGGAAACTGAGAGAGAACGAGAGTGACGCTCTCTCGCAGCCTCCAGCTTTCTGACGTCTACAAGTCTTTCGCCATTCCTTTTCACATCAGTTTTCGCAAGAACATTTTTCGGCAGGAAAACGCGTGCTCCTCCAAAAACGGGATAAAAACGTGGTAAAAACGATCGGAAAATTGCAGAAAAACATTGTCGTGCCGTGGAAAATGATAATCTGATCGAATGCCAAAAAAATCTAAGCCCGGAAAGCGTAAAGTTCGGTTTTATTTCGGTTTTAGTTTACTCCAATTGTCAGTGCGAGTGCAAGTGGGACGGAGCACATGGCAGTGCCTGTGACGCCTCCTTGCTTTCGTGTTCTTCTTCTTGCTTTGATCGGCAAAAGCGAAGAACAAGAGTAAGGAAAACTGTGAAAAAAACGGGCAAAAGGCGGCGAAAGAGTGCCATTCGTTTTTGTTTTTTATTTTTTTTTATTTTTTTACTATGGTTAAAGTGAAAAAAAGTGGCAGTGATTTTTGTAATAATTTATAAAATATAAAGAGAGGAGGAATATTTACGTTTGGACGCCACAAATAATAGGTGAGTATCTTGTAGTATTTAGTTTTTCTCTTTCTTTTTTGGTTATCTTCTCTTTCTGATATTTGCCCTTGAAATTTAAATGTAAACAAACGAACCGAGAACTGCTCTCTAACGGGAAGGATATCCTGGAATAAGATCCAAATTTAAGGATTGGAAAATTCAGGCAGTGTTTGTTTTGAGGGAAATTATTTGTACAGAGAAATAAACACAAAATCGAATTAAATAACCCTAAATAATTAATTTATAAATACTTATCAATCTTCGGCTTGCCGAAGTTAGCTTCCTTTCCAGTTGTTTTGTATCTTAAATCTAAATCTTAATGTAATATTTTAAGAATTAATAGCAAATCGAAATATATCTGGCAAACATTTGGTATGCCTGCTAAGCTCTAAAAACTCTTGTACCCTCGGAATACTTGTTATTATGGTAATTATTTCGCCCAACCGAGTGCAGGGAATTTCTCTCAGTGTACCTCCATGCCGCCTGGTGACAAATGCAATAAAGAGAGCGAAAGCGAGAAGCCTTTGTGGGGGATGGATGGAGGCTTACTGTTGCCAGTTTGATTAATGACGGCGATTGCCGGGACCGCTGACTGATGAGTGGAAGAGCGGGTCCGAGTCCGGGGCAAAGTCCTTCCTCCACCTCCTACTCTCTCTCAAGATGACCCACGATGAGCCACTTTATTATTTGTGGAGTTGTCTGCCTCCCCGTGCCCGCAATCTGCACAGACTCGCTGACTCGCTTTTAAATCCGAACAAAACTCTGCCACAAGACCAGGAATCAATCAGGAGGCGTTGTGGGGGCGTGGCCGGAGAGTGCAGCATCCCGACTGTCATCAATGTTTACGAGGGACCCATAATGACGAAACATTGAACGAAGACAGGCGGGCGCGGGGCTCCACCATTCCCATGGAACAATCAAAAGGGACACGCAGCCTCATCACTCCCACCTTCTTTCTTTCTTGCTGTTTTTTTTTGGGGGGGCTTCCCCTTTGTTGTTCGAACGACCATTGTTGTTGCGAACAATGCGTGAAAATAAAACGGGCGATAATGAGTGCACGAGACGTTGAGCCGAGAACTGACCCGAGTTTGTCATCCATCCATATTCCATTTATGCCAGCCCCAACCAGCCCGTGGGGGATGGGGATGGTGAGACTCAAAAAGGCAACAAGCCGTTGGAAGCCATAAAACGGTCAGCAAATAGCAAAAAACCCTAAAAGGCGGGCGGGCGACCAACTGTCACTGGCAGCGACACCCCCAGAAAGCCCATCATCCATAAACACTCATAAAGATCAGGAAAATAAAAAGGTTTATGCTGCAAGATGTTGCCCCGAAAAGGCAATCAAAATGTGGGAAATGCGCCACATTGAGCATGGCGTCTGCTTGCTTTCCGGGGGCAATCAAGCGGCTGTCCAGGATCTCTAATCCAATTGAGCGTGCCAAAATTGGGATTTTTAAATATTCTCCATTATTTAAAAGCTTTTTTGGCGCCTAATAATTTGAATTTCTTGTTGCTGAGCGTTGCCAGACTGGCGTTAACATGTCTCTGGTATGTTAAATTTTAACAGACAGCAACTATGTTAACTAACATTTATGCTGACAACAGCGACTGTAACAGCTAACAGTCTTGAAGATATTACATTCTAACATGTCAAACATTGTGTACTTTACACACATACCAGTGTAGAAATACATAGCTCATGTCAAGAATATATTTTCTTTTGTTTTTTTTGTCTTTTCTCGTTTTATTATTAATTTATAACAATATGCACACATACAATTTAGCTAATATATATTATTTTACGCTCATAAATAAAAGAAAAATACACGACACTCAGAGAAAGCAAAAAAAAAAAAGTGGGGATATTGGAAATCGTAAGGTGGAATTGCTCGTTCAACTCTCTGGGTTTCCCTAAAACATCTTCTTCCTGACCGCCGTGTAGCGCTCCATGTAGACGTCGTAGCCGTCAAGGTCGGTGAACTGCTTCGAGTTGAACAGGTTGCCATCGACGGCCAGATTGCAGATCTTCGAGTCCTTGAGAATGCGCGGCGTGAAGGCCGTCGCCTGCAGACAGTTCTCCTCCAGGCGCAGCGTCTTCAGCTTACGGCACTCGGCCACATCCTCGGCCAGCGACGATATCTGGTTCTGGTTGAGGTTCAGTTCGGTCACATAGAGACCGCCCACCTCGGCGGGCACCTCGGTGATCCGGTTGCGCGACAAATCCAAAACATCCAGCTGCTTCAGGCCGCACAGCATGCCGGGGAACTCCTTCAGCTGATTGTTGCTTAAATTCACCGTCTTCAGGTGCGTGCAATTCGCCAAGGTCTTGGGCAGCTTGGTCAGCAGATTGTCCATGAGCAGCAGCACCTCCAGCTTGACCAGCTCCCCGACCACCTCGTTCAGCTCCGCAAGCCGGTTGCCACTCAAATTCAGATGCTTCAGCAGCGTCAGCTTGCCCAGTTCATCGGGGACGCGCTCGAAGCGATTCTCTGATAGATCCAGGGTTTTCAGTACATTGGGATAGGCCTTTAGCTGCGGCGGGAACTCCTGCAGGCGCTGCAGCGATATCTTCAGGATGCCCGTCTTCTGGGCCGTCTCCAGGTGCTGTTTGATCTGTTTGTTGCCCATCCCGAGGTGGTGCGGCTACTGTCTCGCTCTATATCGATTCCACTCGGCAGGGGAAACTCCACCCACTGGAGGAGGTCAGTTCTCTGGCAATGACTAATACGGTTTCCTCAAGTGTGGACGTGGGCGTTACTCCCCTAGTGTCCTTTGGCGTGTCCCTGCAGCTCCTGTGGCTGGTTAATTGCGTGTAAATACAAAATAAACAGCGAATTATTTTTTATTTATTACAAAGTGTGCTTGTTGGGGTTTTACTGGAAATTCCCACGGAAGCAGCGGGGATTTTCTTTTTCCAGGTAGCAGGTCTCACTAAATCTTACAGTCTGGCAACGCCAAAAGACCAAAATATTACATATAAATCAAGGCGCAATATTTAAATTAAAACTAGTAAAATATAATTAATGAATAATTTAATTCGTTTAATTAAAATGAACATTTTTTATGAAAATTTTCACCTTTCAACCCTTTTCATTTTATTAAATAAATGAAAATAGTAAATTATTTTCGCCAGTTGTAAAAAGTTTTTTATTTCATATCATATTTTAGTTTAAAATATATATATGCATATATAAAACCTTTGCAATTTTCGCCTAAAACTACACAATAAACTTAACATAGCGCATTCTATTCTTCTGTCATTTTGCTTCAGTTTCTTTTCCCCGCAAAAAAAAGTGTATATGTCTCGAAACGCTTCCGATAAAAATCTACAAACTATTATTATGAAAGACTCAAAAGCAATATTTATTATTATTATATTATTATCGGCGTTTCTCAGTTTCATGCAAAAATATGATTTTCTTCCTGTATTTCTCATCTCTTTGCTTTTTTAGGGGGAAATTCCTTCTCGTTTAGTGATGCAACTATTTATAAATAAGAGCTAGGTATTAAATTAAAGTTTAAAATTAGGAAAAAAAATTAATTTCTTTTTTTTTGCAGAAAAATAAACAAGGAAAATCTCATTCTTTTTTCGCGTGTGTGTGTGATGGAAAAGCAAAAAAGATAAAATTAAGAAAAGGGTTTTGGATTTGATTGTCTTTTTTCTTTTCGTCAGTTATTTTCTGCCATGCGATTCGAGTTGTGATCATTGATTAATCCATGTTTATGATAGTTTTTTTTTTTTTTTTTGGGGGGGACAGGGACGGGGATTCGGAGGGGAAATGGGTCAAGGAGTCGGGTCAATCACAGAACTACCAAAGGGTCGGGGCTGGGGGGACGCGGCTCTGTCCTGGTCTTGAGTTTCAACTAAGTAGAATGATTTGTGCTAAATAAAAATAATAATCCAAACAAGGATATCCGGGGTGTCGGGTGTCTGGGGTGTCTCTGGGTTTCCAAAAAGTCACGTCAAGGCTATGTCTGGGTTTGGGGCAGGGTATACATCATTGGGGTCGGTCGTCATCAGGCGGATCCCGCGAGACTCAATTACTTGGCACGGTCATGCTTGGAGGGCTCCACCTGCTTGGCAAACTCGCTCATCACATCCTTGTAAATCACTGGATCGAGATTGCGGCCCAGCATATAGATGAGCCACCAGTCGCCAATGTCCAGTTTCCGCGATAGCGAGCGACAAATCTCCATGGGAATCATGCGATTGCGAGCATTCAGCAGACGAGGCCTGAATTTTGGCATAAAGATGATGCAGGCGCTGTAGGAAAACACGAAAAATTATAGAAAAACAGGCCGCAGTACACACAAGATCTAAACATACCGGAAGACCATCAGTCCAATGAGCAGGACGAGCAAAATCCAGAACCAAAACCAAATGAACACGTACGTCTTCTCGTTGACAATGTTCAGCGGCAGGATGCAGAGGGAGTCGTGCTTCTGCAGTGATCCGGAGGCACCATACTTGTGGAAGGTGCACTTGGTGACCCTGGGGAAGACATAGACCATGGGATCTACTCGCTGCTCCTGCGGCACATCCGACAGCTTCATGATATTGGTGCCGTACGAAAGGAATTCGCCATCGAAGAAGCGATTCATCAGATACATTTGCACAATGATGTTCACGCAGCAGAGAACCTCGCAGGCCCAGTACCGAATAGCATACAGCTTGTGGCGCTACAAGAACATGTTTTATAGGATCTATTGGGTTTTTAGAATCATTTAGAAACACCCACCTTTACGTGCTTGATCAGATAGTCCAGCAGGGCATCGCGCTTGGCCTCCTTTTCCTCGCGAGTGCAGATGGTGATGTTCAGTCCCATCACAATCATGCGCATGAGGCCGCCTTCGAATTTGTTCCACAGGAACTTGGGCGTATAGCAAGCCATCGCCTGGAACAAGGTCAAGAGAAAGTAAAGGGATTAGGGGGCTTATAAGGATAAATGCAAAAGAAATCTATGTCTTCTACATGAAGGTTTGAAAATTTTAATATTTATCCATAATTTTATTTAATTTCTGATTTAGTTTTTGATAAAGAAATCTTGTCTTCATTTCAACAAACACTTTTATTGAAATAAGTCGCCGCAATATATCGACACATTCTTGTGTGTTGATCTTGTGTTGTCGCAATTGCTGCCTCGTTGTTGTAATTGCCACCGTTGTGTTTGCTATTTAGCAAGTCATTAATTATATTTGGTATTTCACAAGTCCGAGCACTAAGTGCCGCCAGTGTTTCACTTGAATATGTATACGTCACTTGGGCAATACGTTGACCCAACCAGATCACATCAAGCCCAGCTCCAGTCCCATTCCCATAACTATTCCCATCCCACGATCAGGAAAAAGATCACGTTTAAAAATGGGTTAAAGAAAGGTCTTGTAAAATATTATACAAATTATTTTGTAATTAAAATTAATAAGCTTGGAAAAAGCTTTTTTTTTACAAAGCAAAATGATAAACAGTTCATGGGGTAATTATTACAAGAAATATTTATTTCTTTCACTGTGCCATATAGCACTCCCCTATATCTCCCTATACGTATATATATCCGCACATGCCACGCTCTCAATTGAACTTAATTGGAGCGATTGTCGTTGCGTTGAAGAATCGAGAGCACTACTTCAGAGCCCAGCAAAAAGTTGCGTGGCTTTTTATTCAAAGCGAAAAGATTAATCACAAGATTACAAAAGATAAATGAAAAATAAAAAAATAATAATAAATATAGTACTATATATAAGAATTAAATGAATAAATTTTTAAAGAGATCAGAAAATAAAAAGGGGGAATCTCACCTGGAAGAAGAGCACAAAGCACACCCACTGGTAGTAGGTGTAGTACTTCTTGGCATCCTCATCACCAAAATCATTGGCCACACCAGGATGGGCAACCTCTCGGCCAACCTGGAAAAATAGAAGAGAATATAAGTTTAAAATATTAAAAATATTATTTACATTTTTAAAAATTAAAGAACTAAAAATATTTAAAGGAAACAAGCTAAAATTAAATTATATATAATATATTCCATGCAAACATTTTAGTATAATATTTTATTATATATAGTAGTTCCCTAGACCTTTTCCCTAAACCTTTTGCTATCAATCCTGGCAAGACTTTATATATTTATTTATTTATTTTTTGTGAAACCTATAAGCGAATTCACTTAGTGCTTCTGCGGGGGTAACTTGATCGTTGATCGGCACACTAACTGCCAAAAACAAAAAAGTTTTCCACGAAATCGTACAAATATATACGGAAAGGAGGGAGGAGGCGGGAAGAAAGGGAGTTGGAGACTGTTTCCTGCCCTTCTCACAATATGAAATATGAGAGCTTGCAGCCTGTGGAGCAGACAGAATGCACTGCAAAAAATAAGAATTTATAAATAAAACACTACAGAAATATTTAAGAGCTTTTTGAGTATGTCTGGGGAATTTCTAATCAAGATTTAAGATTTGTAAAAACTATCAAGGGAGCCCCAAAAAAAACTTGCTTTTTCCTGTTTTGTGGAAATAAATCATTTTGATTTAAAAATAATTTCTTCAATAGGGAATTCAATTCGGGGCTTTATTTTGTAATATTTTATTTCGTTTTTTTGTATGTTTTTTGGTATATTTTGTTGTATTTTTTGTTGTATATGTTTTATTTGATTTCTTCATGTGCAAACGGTTTGTACAAATCGCTGCCGCTGCTTGGCCCGCAGCTGGAAAGAGGAATATTATTAAGAAGACCGACTACGCCCAGTTTATAATTGCTTTATAGGCCTGAACCGGGCACAAATGATGTGTGTACTACACATGAGCTATATGTTATGCCTCTGCCCCTGTCGGACGTGTCTCGTGTACAAAAGAAGGTCTCTTCTTGACAGGCACACCAACAAAAAAAATACCCAAAAGAATTTAAAAAAGTAAAACGAAAAGGGTTTCTAAGAGGAATCCCAGAGATTGAAATGGAAAGGAAATAGGTGAGCTTTGTTTAATGAAGATTTCCTGAGAAGATTTCATTGAATTTGTAGCTTGAGCTGCCAACAAAATATATAAAAAATTAAACAAATATAGACAGCGAAACACTAGCTTATTTTTGTATAATTTAGAGAACTCGGGTAATATTTAAAGAGCCAAATAAATCATTAAGAGCAGGCTTCGGTGAGTAATAAACTTGTTGAGATCAATAACCATAAAATATTTAAAATGTTTTATAACTAAATAATGCAAAAAATATGTGAATATATATTTGAAACCCCTCTCTCACCTGTCTGCGAAAGGCATCCGGCATGGTAAAGGTGCTGTGGATCCAGCAAAAGGTATTGACCACATGCGGTGGCACACCGTTGACAATGCAGCTAATCGGCTGGCCCACATACTGGGTGGCGGTGATGATCAGGCTGCAGGTGAGCAGCAGCACCGTGGTGAAGGAGTTGTGCAGACGGAAGACGGCATTGTCCGTCTGAATGTCCTGCCACTTGAGGTAGCTCTTAAGGCTACCCAGCAACTTGTACATCTTGTCAGGATATCAGGGATCGGGATTGGGAACTCGGGATCTCCGGATTAGCTCCTCTCAGGCAGTGTTCGGTTGGGACAGAGATAGAGATAGAGAGTGTTAAGCAATGCTAGTTCTTAGCTTTAACTTCCTCTTGCCGGTTCGGGTCTTGTTTCGGTTCCTGCTCTCCTTCAGCCTTCGATGCATATCAACTGCAAAGTAAAAGAAACACGTTAATTAGCTCAAATTTATTATAAATTTATTCTAAATAATAATATGTAAGGGCTGTATTCACACGATCTGCTCCATCAGATAGGTTTAATTTAATTTCTGTGTTGGAAACAAAGCAAATACAAGCTGCTATCTGCCAGTATCTGTGAAGTACATGGCGCTGATTGGAAAACAAGCGACGACGACGACGATGACACCTCCTCCACGGCACAGTTTGAAGTTCGCCGAGGCATCATTTTGTGCTGAGCAAGGAGCAGCTTCTGATTGATAAATGTGCAGGGCAAGCGAGTATTTTTGGCATAAATCAACATCAACTAATAGAATCTTGAGACGGTTTCAATTTCAATTAAAGCCACATTTCGCAGAGCGGAGCTAGATCGATCTCTCTCTCTCTTTCTCAGCTGGGTGAAAAAAAAAATTGATGCGCCATTTAAGTAACCAATTGGCATTTGCTCCACTTGCCTGCTGTGTGGCCCGTTGGATTCCGAGACCGAGACTGAGACTGAGCCACAAACCGAGACCGTGTTCGAGTCCCCAGTCTGAGGCTTGTCTCTGTCCGTCCCGGGAGAAACGACACACAGAGTATATCTCCCAGCATCTGGGGGCAATGCACTCCTCTCTCTATCTCTTTGCCTCTCTCTGTGTCTCGCTTCCCAGCGATCCCAGCGATCTCTGTGCAACGCATTTGACCCAGGCGCCACTGGGAACCCCGTCTCAATTATGTTAAATCGTTACGGATTCTTTGACACCGAGGTGTTCTATTCTTTCCACTTATACTACCTCGGACAGGCAATTGTTTATCAATCAAAAATATATTTATATATATGTCAGGGCAATATCGATTTATTGTATGCTTATTTGGCTGAAACTGTTATCAATTATTTTAAGAATTAAAAGATTTCTAAAATAAATTTGATTTTAAAAATATTTTTTAATATGTAGTAGTAGGGTTTCGTCCCTCTTTAATATCAAGTTTCATTGAAAAATCACTGAAATATCGAAACTATCGATAATGAGATACCCAGACTTCTTGTAGATTATTCAATAATTTTTAAAATAAAGTTAATATGAAAAACGTTATGTATAAGTTTCATTATAGAAATAAAAACAACTCAAGTTTTAAATGTCTCATTGTGCTGTACTGTACCTAGACTTGTTATCGATAAATTCGATAATTCAGCGATTTTTATTCATATAGTGTATCCAACAGTTTCTTTTTCTAATCCGTAATGGGTATCTAGCTAATTGTTAAGACATTCTATGCCTATTTGAAACAGGTAAAGTTATTTTGTAAAATCCAACAACATTCCTTTAGTTCTCATAAAAAAGGCATTCAGCCGAAACTCAAATGCTGCATTGTCGGCATTCCCATTAAGTGCCTCTAAACAAAAACAAAAAGCTTCTCAAGCGAGCTGCATTTGCACTTGACTAGGCCGGCCGCCTCTTAACCCCTCTCTCTTAACCCATTCCGTACATAAATTGCCTCCTTCCTGGGCCCAAAAGCCCAGCTGTTATGCGCTTCCTCAACGCTCCGTTGGCTCCGCTGACAATGGCCCACACCGCCTACCGCCCACCGCATGCATCCCTCCCCTCTCTACAGCCCTCCGTCACTTTACTCTTCATATACACATATGTGTATATATGTATGTATATGTTTTCCCCCCACACATGCTGGCTGCCATTTGTTGTGTTGCTGATTTTCCTTCATTTTGCCAGGCATTTTCATTGCCAAGGCCATGGAACTGTGGACGGACTGCCAGCAAGTGTTGCCTGCCCATCATCCAGTAGTTGATTTTGGCGCGAATTTTGTTGAAATTTAGCTGTGCAAATTGTCACTCGTCGCCAGGTGTGGAAATGGCACAGAAAATGAGGGGGGTCCAAGCTAGGTGTCAGTTAAACCAATTGTTTTTAGAAAAAGGTCACCACAATTGCATTCAAACGTGCTTTTAAACCGGCTTTGTAGTCGTTAGTTCTACATTCCCTGCCGTTTTCCTAATGTAAAATTTTATATTTGTATTAAGGGGAATATATATAACAGAGAGCTGAGTGTTTCCTTTAACTATACTAGGCTATAATAAATATTTAAGTTACCTTCAAAGTATACAAGAAAGTAAGCTAAGGGTTAAGAGTTTATTGTAAGCTAAGTTAAGTTTTGTTGCCTAAAAAAATTTTAACAAATTATACAGAAATAGAAAAGTTGTATTAAAAAATATAAAATACAAAGGTTAATCTTGTTAGCCATTTTCAACAGGACAAAACTAGAACTTTAACCCAAGAAATATCTCATAAAGAAACGATCTTTACTTATACCTTTAAAAAAAAGTTAACAAAACTTAAAGATATTATTTCGAATATATCGTATTCTGAATCTCTGTCATAGCTATTAATTAGAGTTAAAATTAAACAAGAAAGCGTTTGTTTTTAACACTTCTCCCACCTGGGATCTTCCCAGATTATTTTCTTGCTGCCTTTGCAATGCTTTCACATTTTTAGCGGCTGTTTCATTTGGCAAATAAATTAAGCACGCTCGCTGTTGTTGTCACCTGTGTGTGCTTTTAATTTTTATTTATTTTATTTTTTTTTTTTTGCTTGTGTCTGCTGTTTAGTGTTGTTTGCACACACTTTGTTGCTGCTGCTGCTGCTGCTCATGTCGGGTCTTTTAAAAGCTTTAACATGCTTAACCTTAACATGAATGCAAACAGCGCACGAGAACTGCAATTGCAATTGCAATGCCAGTTGCATTCGGAATCTGTGCTTTATTTATTTTTGTAATTTTTTTCTTTTTGTATTTAGTGCTAGAAGTTGTGACGTCAGACTGACTGACTGACTTAATTGCATTCGCTGCCTGTACGAGTTGTACTCCCAAAGAGCTGGGTTTTATTCATTTTCATTAGGGTTTGGTTTGGGTTTTGTTTTGTTATTTGGTTAGCAGCTGGTCACCGGAGCGGAAGTCGCCCTTCGGGGTGTGTTACGTGCTAGCGATGGCATTTCTCAGAAAGCACGACTCACGACGGCCACTCAGGAAATGCCAAACAGCAAAGATCACTTGCCAAAAGGTGAGTTGGTCTTCTAAATAGAACATAGTCTATATTAATTTATGTGAAATATTCCAATGAAATTAAAAAGGTGCTTAAAAAATAATGGCCTAAAATCTATATAAAATAAAAAGGAACATATTAAAGCCTATTAAGCCTTTTTTCTAGTCCAATATATACTATCGCCTCACGTTGGCATCTCTGGCACTCCTATGTACGCGACAGCTGGCCCAAAAAACAAAGCTGCCGGGTCGGTCATCCCATTCCATCTAGTAGTAACTTTGCATGCAGTCGCTGGGGAGGATGGCTGAGGAGGATCAGGCCCTGCAGAGAAGCGGAGAAACCGCAAAGTAGCGTGCACTTAATGGGGATACTCAGGGTGGTGGTGTATGTGTACTCGGAAAAGGGAAATGGAGAAAGCGAGGTAGTAGTTAGTAGTGGCTTCCACGTCTCCTTCACGGAGAATTCTTCTCGTCGATTTGGTTGGGCACTCTGATTGGAGACACATGCTCGAAAACAATGAGTGGCTACTGTTTCTGCGTCACCTAAATTGACCATTTCCGCTTGGAGGGGGGAAGAATGTGTGTGGCTGGGGAACGGCAGAGAGGGGCCTCCGGCTTGGGGAGATGTCTTTGAAAGGGGAGAGATGGGATGCCATAGATGTCGCCGAACCCGACAACACTCCAGACTTCTAAGGTAAGCCGATGCACCGTAAGAAACGATCAATCATACAATTTCTTAGTTCAAATCAAAATGTTATATATAAAATATTTGCTTTGTTTAATATTTATATTTCAAATTATATAAATATTTTTGATTCAAATTAAGATCAGTTAAAAAAAAATTTACCAGTTACCAATCTTTATTTCCTGTGTAGACGGAAAACAAAAAATGATGACGCTCCAAGAGATTCATTGGAAATAATAGTGGAAACGATGAAAAGAGGGGAGCTAATAAGAGGAACATCAAAGCGGAAAATGTTTAGAAGAAACACAAGAAGCAGGAAGATCGGTGGAAAAAAGGGGGAAGCCCATTAAAACATTTGGGTGGGAAAAATATCAGCTCTCCGTGGGGAAGTAAAAAATGATTTCAAGGCGGTGACCAAGATGTTAATTGTAGGAACAGGATAGGAGAAAAAAATCAAATAAGAACCGGAAAGCTATTGAGATTGGGAAAATGGAAAAGGTGAGACAATTGCCGAGATGGTTAAGATTGGAAAATGAAGAATAAAGATAGATAAATAATAAGAAAGATTTTAGAAAAAAAGAAAGACCTTTGAGACCTGACCAGAAGAAAGGGAATCAAGGTGTTAACAAAGCCACAGAATACAAAAGAATCTTTGAAAACCCAATTAACTCTTGGTGTTTTTAGCCACCTTGAAGATATTTTTTAAATCATTAGATCCTGATAACAGAACATATACTCTAAAATGTATAAACCTAAACCTAATCTCTTGGTTTTACATAATATTTTTAGGCAAATCTTTTAGAAACTATAGGTCGTACGAATCTAAAGGATGCCAGTAAACTCTTGGTATTACACATTTATTATTACCAAAAGAATCTACATTTAATATGACATCAAAGATATCTTCAAAGAACAGAGTAGAATCTCTGGAATCCAAGACAGTAATTAATCAAAGATCTTTATAAAAGGTACAATACAGGAGAATATATATATGTAGCCCCGTAACCCTCGGTGATCACATGACCAATTGGCTCAAATGGCTGCTAATCAAGGTAATCAAAGTACCGCCTCAAGGCCTGACTTAGCGCGTCAATCCCGGGGGAGGGGGAGATTACGATTATACAACTAAATCCGCGCTAGTCGCTCGCTCTGTCCCGCTTCCTCCCACAGCGAAAGCTCGGCTCGAAAGCTCGTCGACAGCTTTCCGGTGGAGAATGCAGTTTCTTATTCTTATTCTTTGCCACGCTTGTTAATGTATTTTTTGTATTTTTTTTTGTTTAGAAATTATTATTTTTGTAGACTTACGCAGAATACCGTTTGTTGGCGCGTCTTCTCTTTATCGCCCTGCTCCTTGTAAGCTCGGCTTTGTTGTTGTTTATTCTTGAAATTGTAATTTTTGGTGTTGTCACAGCATGGCGCGCTCGTAGGTGTATGTGTACGTGTGTGTGTGTGCGAGCGAGTAAACGAGTAGAGTGTCTGTGTGAATGGTATTTGTTTGTGTTTGTTCCCGTCGCCTGCTTCTTCCTCTTCTTCTCCAGCTTCTCCTGCCTCCTCACCTTCTTGCTCCTCTCGGTTTTTGTGTGTTTTTCGAATCAGCTGCCAGGTGGCCGTAGAATTAGCATGGAACAGGTTCGCTACGGTTCTACGTTAGCCCTCCTCCAGATTATTTTCATTAAAAAACGCCCAGCGGAACGGGGTGGCAGGGTGGCGGGGAAAATCTCGAAATTAAACCGCGCACACAGCAAACTCAAATAACAAAAAAAAAAAAGCAAGGAGTTTTTTAGTCGTCACAATCAAAAAAACGAATTATATCGCGCAACAAATGCCGTTTGGCGAACGCAGCACAAAATTAATATTTTCCTCCGATTTCGGATCGTATATTGTTTCGGTTTCGGTGTTGTCTTTGATTTTTCCAGCTCCGTGTGCGTTTTCTCCGTTTTTTCGGTGTTTTTTCTGTTTTCGAGTCGCCGTCGCCGTCGACTGCCGCTTGGTTTTGGTTTCACATGCGCCCGACTCAAATCAAACTCAACGCTCGCCGCTCAGTGTTCAGTGCTCGGCGCTCGCGCTCTCTCTGCACTCCGCTCGCTTGAGCCGCTGTCGCTCTCGCTCACACACTTTGAGTGCGTTTGAGTCGCTCTCTCTCAGGCACTATCTCTTCTCATCTCCAGCCGCTCTTCCGCTCTATCTCTCCAACTCTCTCTCTCCCTCTCTCCCTGCTGAGTACGCTATATTTGTTTATTTAAACGAATTAAGCCTTAAATTAAACTGATCGCTAGCAATGAACTAAAATTGGAGCAGCAATTGCCCAGGAGAAATACATAACGTATACGTATTGTCCCATACGCCCCCCCCCACATACACCCCCTCTTGAGCGCCCTTTTGTTACCTTTCCTTTTCTTGCCTGGCCGCTTTTTCGGGTTCCGCTTTTGTCCACTTATTTTCATTCTTTTTGGCCAAGTTTTCTTTTGTTTGGCTTTTTGGAGAAGTTAAGGTTATGGAAAAAGTCAGGGAAATCACGAAACTCCAAGTGCACAACCAGAAAAAGGCAGTTCTTGTACATTTTAATATATTTATTTATTTAAAATATACAGAAAACTCTTTGATCTACTTTTAAAAATGATAAATAATATATTTCTTTCGGTTTCTACAAGAAATACTCATGGAGGTGATCTCATCTTGAAATTTTTAAGATGCATTAATTAGAAAAAAACCTGATTTTGGAATAAGAAATCTAATAAATTAATATACGATATTTGGGGGGGGCAAACTTAGAAAGTTTCAAAGTTGATTATTAATTATATATTAAATATCTCTTAACTAAGATTGATAGCTTAAATGGATTGCCAAGAAAATATACTTTTAAGTATTACTTACAAAATAAGTTAAAAAACCTATAGTTGTTAATTTATTTTTATAGTAATAAATGGAAATCCTCAGATGCTTGAACTTAGGCTATAGTTTTTTAGATACTTTGTTATGAAAATTAAATTCTAGAGCTGATAATCCCCATATACCAAAGATTTTCCCTTGAGAAGTGCAAATCTCATTATATTTTTATTATCAAGCAATTGCAATTCTTCTAGCTTCAGCATATTCGATTCCCTGGATTCCCAAGATAGATCAGATTCCGATAGGAACGTGCTTCTTCTCGAAAACCGTCTGATATTGGATCCCCATTTGAGCTGACTCTTTCGGCGTGTGCGCATACTTTGTTCTGTCTGTCAGTCAGTCAGTCTTTGAGCCAGTTAGTCAATCGGTCAACCATTATGCCCCTCAATATGGGAGGCTCTCGAGTTACAGTTATACCATATGTATATTGGTTTATGCTATACATATGCACATATATCGGAGTGCGGAGAATGCTTGCCATTGCAACCGCATTTAAGCCCGATTCCAATCAAGTCGAGTTAAATCCCTTCCCGTCCCTTTTCTCGCCCCTTTGCAGGTTTTGTCTTACGTTTCTGCCAGTGACGGGTTTAAAGGGGGTTTTGGGGGTTAAGAAAATTAAAATTATTATCAAGTATAAGGATCACTGATCACAAGCTTAAATAAGTGCGATTTTTGGATTATGTGAAGCTGCAGAGGTAGTTAACAGCATCTTTCTCTGACTTGAACCTTAAAATAAATAAAGAAAAATGTATAAATTTATATTACTTTACCCCAAAAAAATATTTCTTGGCTCAGCCACTGCCTCCTGGCCCTAAAGAAATCGGTCGTGTCCCCATCTCCCCACCAGCATTTGTATCATGCGGCGAGTTCGTGTTGCCTTTAATTTAAAATTAAGGTTTTTTTCGGGCTCGTTCGTCTTGACATGGTCTTTTTTATGGGGCTACAATAAACTGCGCACTTTCTGGCATACGAAAAGAAATCAAAACCCGAAGCCAACATAAAAAAAATTTAAGACAAAAAAAGTGAGAGAGCTTGGAAAAAATGTTAAGTGCGTTGTCATTGCCACGGACATGAGAAGCCAGTAAATGGAGCCCCGATTGAAGTTTGAAGTTGTCCGGAGTTGGAGGTCTTATGGATACAATATACGATCAGGGATACAACCCACACGCCCGTGGGTGATCCATTAACCAGGCGAAACACTCTGAAGTAATTGTAAAGTCTTTGCAGGATTACTAGGTATATTTAAAAAAAATTGTAATATAATAATTTTAGTCAGAAGCTTGCAACACAGGGAAGGAGTCATTTCCGACCCCATAAATCATATATATTCTTGATCAGCATCAACAGCCGAGTCGAACTGGCCATGTCCAGTAGAAAAAACAATTTTTCACAAGTTTGTCGATTTTTCAAAATTTTATAAGGGGTTACATCATTAAAATTTTCAAAAATTATTAAAATTTTTAATTTTTAAAATCTAAAAATGTTATATGCATTTTTATTACCATTATAAAAACTAAAACAAAACAGCTTTCCAAATTAAAATTGAGGCATTTTTGGCTTACCTATGTCGTTTTTAAATTTTGATTTAAACAATAAATAATTAATTATGGTTGGCCCTAAAATTATGTTTTATTTTCTATAAAAAAAATTTTTATTTTAAAACTTTAATTAAATTTATACAACTGTTACTTATTTAACATAAATAAAAGTAATAATTATAGTCCACAAACTGTACCCACGATTGAGATTGTACCAAAAAACATGCGTGAGGTGGACAAAGGTAAAGAAGGTATCGGTATCGTTGGTGGCTCCTCACCTGGCCAAGTGTCACGTCTGTCGCAATCTGGCCATTAACCACGCGACCCTCCGCCCCTCTGGGCACGCCCCCTCGCTACCATTAAGGCCAGGTATCGTTGCGGTATCGATACCGATGGTTGTACGTGAGCGGGAGCACGAACCGCCGACGTTGATTAATCTCAGGTGTGTTGCAACTGAAACATGGACCGTCCTTACTCGTTCACTCTCTCCCGCACTCAGAGACTCTCTTTCCTTGCTCTCTCAAGGGGAGAGGATGCCAGAAACTCACTCATTTGTGCAACTCGCTCATCTGCAGCAGCTGCTCCTTTTTTTTTTTTTTTGCCACTTCCTTTTTGGGTTGCTTCCTTAAAAGAGGCAAATAAAAGAGGAAGACGAGGAGGGGAAAAAAACAGACGGAGGCTGAATTGAGGGAGGGGGCATTAAAGAGGGGGTTGCAGATTCCTTTTATGTCTGGCCCATTCTACACAGAGAGAAAAATATGGAAGATCGGGTCCTATAAAGATCAATAAAAGCTAACAATTATTTTACACTTAACATGATCTCTTAAAAAGAATAATAAATAATATTCATATTTTTTAAAATTGTTTCTATCAAAAGAATATTGCGGGAGATCGGGAAACTTAAGGAATTGAGTGGAAGACACAAGGCAAATCTGCAAGCCCGGGACCCTAGCATCCCGTGAAACATCCCAAGAATTCTATATATAGCCTGAGCCCGAGCATCTGTTTTCAAGAACTCGAAGATCGTCAATGTCCGCGGTACGGGAAATTCATCACGTAGGCAGGCAAAAGAATCATCTAGAGGTGCTTAAAATAGAGTTCGTTTCGGGAGGAAACGAGGGGAAATAAGGCCATCGAACCATCTCTAGGTACGATCGTTAAAATTTCCCAAGGAAATATCAGCTATAAATTAAGTTCCTAATAGTTATGTATAATGCGATCCTTAACCCAGAAATGAATGATCGTTTTTAAAAACATTAAAGCAAATGAAGTATTCCATTTTGTGCACTTGAAAAGACTAATCATATAGGATTATACGTACGATCATAAGCATATTGAAAATTTGAAAATCTTACAAAGTATCCTAAAATCTTTATGATGTTCATAAATGTTAAACCATTTTACGAGCCATTTATCTCCTACAGAATGCATCAATAAACATTCAAATGTATTTCTTCATTTTATTTAATTGACCTTTGTAGCCTCTTCAATTGTTTTACATATGCCCAACTCTGCTTTCGAAATCGGTCATTAAGCGATCAATTTGACGAACATAAAGAGTACAATGACTTATCGCTAAGAGATCTTTCCTCGCATTCCGCCAGAGTTCTACCCCGCGATAGAGCAATAGAAATTAATTGAAAAACGATCTTTAGAGACATTTAAATGCCCCGGAGATCTACCCCAAGTAACATGTAGCATATAGCACTTGACTTTTTCTGCTCCTCCCCCGATCTCGGTCTTTAATGACCCCCCCCCCCAACATGAAGATCATGTTCAGGCCATAATGAGGTGGAAATTCGTGTTTCCACAAGTGTGGATAGCAGCAATGACTCAATGATGGACACACGAGTGATCGTTGTGAAATGTTCTCCCTTCTGGCCACGAGCCGTGCATTCCAAAGTACGGGTATATATGGGTCCAAAAACAAGAAAGCCTGGCTTGGCTTTCAATTACCAAGTCGTGGGCTTGGCTTGAACTGGCTTCTTTTCAAACGATTGGGTGACGGAGGGTGGTGGGCTCGGATCAGGCTTGATCGGTTGACAATGCCAGTTCTTTGGCCGTGCTCTTTCTCTCTTCGCGAAGAATGGAAGAAACGTGTGGAAGAATCAGTGGGAGAAGCGCAGAATGAAGTTGAATGCCCTCGTTTGGTTTGGAGTTGCCCACTCCACGGAAAAAGAACCAGATTGTGGGGGGCACCTTGGGGAAACGAAGCTTGGAACACCCTAAAACGCACATTGTATTCCCAAGGCACCTCTGATAAGAAATTTGGAAATCTTTCAAACACCCATTTACTTCACCAGATTTATATTTATTATTATAAAATTTCTTCGAAAAGTGGTCCCCCTATCAGCTTGACGCTTCGAAAAGTCGTTCTACCCGCTTGGTTGGAGGGTATTTAAAACCACCTAAGAAAGCATACCAAAAATGCCAACAGAAGACCTCAGGTGGGGGAAACAAAAACAGAGAAGAACAAAGAGCTGAGCTCGGCTGCTTTTGTATCTGTGTATCTGTATCTTTGTATCTGTGGCCGCGGCTCGTTCTCTATGTGAGCGTGTTTGCTCGCTAGCGTCACGTACAAAATACCTTACCTGTTGCTGGCTGCACAACAAGTTTCAGGTGGGGTCAGCACCGATAACCGATAAGTGATAACCCCGGCTCCGATAGCCGATTGACGATAACGAGGGCGCCAGCGCAGGACATACGATAGCTGTATCCATAGGATAGACCAGCTAGCCCTAGGAGTTAGCCCTAACCCTGCTGCCTGGCAACCGGTTTCCATTGCCAACAGCAAACAAGAGAGAGAGAGAGAGAGCCAAGTCAACGTCAGAGATGCCAAGTTGAATTGGGCTATAATGTATTACCAAAAACGTTTAACTTGAAGTTGAATTAAAATTTTAAATATTTATGGGTAGTGGTAAATTTTCAGTATTCTGAAGTTTTACAAATCTGTTGAATGTTAGATATTAGCAATATGTCGGTCAACTGATCTTAGTCCGGTGAATAAGATGGATCTTAAATATAGCGAAAGCTTTTAAATAAGAATAAAATAAATATAAATATAATAATGGGTTTATTTGAAGTAACATGTTACAACTCCACTTTTTTTTTTAACAGAAATGACCAAACAAAAGTTAATCCTTAGGTGTAGTTTTCAATTTTCGTAATCTCTATAATATTATGAAAATTAAAACAGACCTGCAAAAGTATCTTTTACCACTAAAACTAGTTTAAACTCAAATAACTATGTAAATTTTCAAATTATAGTGTTTACATTTTTCAAAAACACTTCAAAAATCAAAACAGAAATTCGATGGGGGACCCAGGTGACCTACCGTTGACCTTTGCAGCCAGTTAGATCTGGCTAGAAATGAGCCAAGCTGGCCAGCTTCCACTCGCTCTCTGTCTTTAGCGTTGCTCTCCACTACCCCGCCCGCCATCCCCCTCGCCCGTAGACCGCTTGTGGGCCCCTCCGTGAGTGAATCGAAACGAAATGGAACGGTGGAAACGAAGCGAAGTCGCAGCGCCGTTTCAGTCCCAGTACGGACTTGGCATTTGCTGACGACGCTGACTAAAGCAATACTCGATACTCTATACCCTAGACACCACTAGCCCGTGACGCAATGACCTCCTCTCTCCGCCCTCCCATTATGACGGGAAGCCTCCTTCTGCTCCTGCTCCTGGGCCTGCTGAGCCTCCGGATGCCCACGGTGGCCGCCATCGACTGCTACGTGTGCGACACGAGCGACACACAGCAGCCGTTCCAGTGCGGCGAGTGGTTCGAGCGTTACGACGAGCCGGACATCCAGCCCCAGAACTGCTCCAGCGTCCATGGCGCCCAGTTTTGCGTGAAGCACGTGGGCCGCTTCGAGGGCGGTATCGGGGCCAAGCGGTTCTGCAGCTCCAAGGATCTGGGCAACTACTGCGACTATGTGCGGAACAAGGGTGACCGCATGGACTATCGTAGCTGCATCTACACGTGCGACACGGACGGTTGCAATGGGGCCGCTGCGGTGGGCAACGGTATGTGGGGTGTGGCCGCCGCAGCAGCAGCAGCGGCGCTGCTCCCTCTCACTTCATGGGCGCGGTGAGAGAGATGGAGCGAGAGCGTGAGAGCGGGACAATCAATAAACAAAGCTTTGTAAACAACGCACACTGAAGCCGCCGCATCACAATAATTTTTTTTTTTCGTAGCCCTTAAGCCTCTGTTAATTGTAAGTTGTAATAAAGAAACTGACACAAGCAAACACACACACAATCTAGTATAGAGAAAATCACAACAAAAACACCAAAAAACAACAACAAGCCACGAAAGAAGAAACAAAAAAAGAATTGAGAAAAACCTAACACAAAAGATGTTTTCATTTGCGGGCCTGAAACGAGCTGGACTTGAAACGAAGGCCGAGAGCGAGGAACGCGTGGCGGTGGAACAGAGGCTCACCTGGCGACAGCTCTCTCTCACACACTCAATTCTTTTCGCTGCCTCTGCCTCGCTCACTCTCTCCAGGCCACGCTTGCGCAATTTGAGTGCTTTTCGAATTTTGTAGAGAATTAGTTTCTAGAAGAAGGTAGACATTATTTCACCATTATTTTTAAGAAAGGATCAGAGGAAAGCCAAGAGTTACTTTAATATCTTAGTAAAAGTTTTATAAAGGTCTTTTGATTGATACCCAAAAAAAAACTATGAACAAGATAAGCTTTTCATGTAGATTTGGTTTTTGATTTTTAAAGTTAGGCATTTCAGGAAATTCTTAAAGATTTAATGGAAATAAATGTTATTTTTAATAAATACGATACCATTTATAGGTACCTTGCATCTAAAGAATAATCGAATCCTCGATTAAAACGATGCTGCCCCAAAATGGTGCAACCCTCAATGCTTTTTGGACCTGCTCGAGAAGCACCTTGAGTGCTCAAGTAGTCAGATCTTTAATCGGCAACTGTGACACAGTTACGTGAGATCTGAAGTCTGAGTTCCAAGTTCTGAATTCCCCACGGAATCGGTAATACACTTGGAATAATTTTAGGCAGAGATCATAGAGAAATGAATTTTAAACCCTATGAAATGGGACATGTTTTAAAACCATTGTGATCTTGATTCTTTACTTTATTGATCAGTTACCTTTATACTAATAATTTTAAAAATAATCAAGGTATAGACTTTATTTTAAATATTTCGTCCCGTGTGCGGTTGAAGATCAGAGATGTGGTGACCTCCGATCGAACGGCGAACGCAATCAATCGGAATTGGATTTGACATTCCTCCGTTTGGCAATTGGACGAGAGATCATTTAAGCCAGCTCAATTTGCGGCTGATTAATTAAGCTCAAAGAGAGCGCGCAACCTGGCTGCCGTAGACCCCAAACGCCCGTACTCCCAGTTCAACGGACGGACATAGCGGACATGCGGACGGACAGTTGCGTAATTGCTTAAATTGAAAGCGCCTTGAGGCGCTATCATCATTGGACATGCGACACTAATTCGCGCTGGCCACCGATCTCGGTGACAGAGAGCCAAGAACCAGAATAATAAGTACTACACCATAACGATGATGTACACAATAAAACCGGAGATCAACGATCTCCAAAATATATAGGGTACATATGGGAAAAAATTAAATTGAAATTAATATTTTCTTAAATTTTTAAATTTAGTATGCTAATTTCAAAGCATTTTTGGCATTTTTTTATTCATAAAAATTAATTAAAAAAAGAAACATTTTAATAAATAATAATTAAATAATTATTAATAATAGAAATGTTCAGTTTATTTTGTATGATTTTTTCCGATTCAAGGAGAGGCATCCCAGACCTTCTTTGAACTCAATTTTTAATCGCATCGTGTCGATTCTTTATCAGCATTTCAACTGTCACATTTGCCCTGTCTCCTATCAATTTCCAATTCTACACCCCTCCTCTTTGGAAGATTTCCAGGGGAGGAAAGAAAACAAAATAAAAAAAATAAAAAAAACAAATTCCATTTTATTCGAAACGAACATTTGAGATAGGAACGAAGGTTGCTTACAGGTTGATTGAGGGGTGTTATGGTGTTAAATGGGATGGAATAATGTGAGTGACACCTAAAATGTATCCCCACTGAAAGGTGGGCTTACGCCGTCAAGCCCAACTCTTCCTATATACATACTATATACCATATGTCCAGGCTTTGGTCATCGATGATTATGGAAGCTCTTTACTCGATTGCGTGAGTATAAGATACTCATGTGATTATAAATATATATTTTAAAATTCATTATCAGGGGTCAATAGCATTAAAAACTGATGGAAAAGTTTTGTAAACAAAGTTGTAAGGGATTTCCTTACTATTTAAATATAGGAATATGTTGAGATATAGATAGGGAATTTTCAGAAATAGATCTATCTGCTTGCCAGATGTTCAAGGTCATTGTCAAGACCAGAAAACCAGAAAAATATAAATAAATTACAGATCACAGAGACTCGCAGCATTTGGAATATTCTCTGGTATTTTCCAGCGATTTCCAAATGTGTGTGTGCCAGAAAGCGGGATACAGCAGGAGTGGCGGATAAAGATAGAGCATAGAGAGAGGCAACAGAGAAGGAACAACCCCTATAAAACAAAGCGGTCAACCCTGAAAATCCAAGCTGGATTCATGAAATTCAAATGGAAAATGCATTCGCGTTTGCTTCCTGCCAAAGTCCTTGGGTTGCGACGCGAATGCTGCGTCATGAGTCCTTATTTTTGGGGGTGGATCTCTCCCACCCATCAAATCGAGGCAAAGAGAGTAAGAGCGCTTGAGAGAGAGAGAGAGAGAGAGCTGTATCCTGTTCCTGTTTGCGATTCTCTTCCTGATTCTCCGGACTCAAATCCGAATGGGAAACCCACTCAAAACTGACCTACGCGTCGAGATTTTTGCGTCATTCGCGGAAGCCAGAAAGCAAGGACTCGCCAGATGACGACACAAAGGAGCACAAAGAACGCCAGCTTGGCTTCCTTGTTTGGTGGAAAATGCGGAAAATGGCCAGCAGCGAGGCGTCGCAGCGAAGGTCGTTCACACGGGGGAAAGTTTATTCAATGAGAAGAGGATTTCCACGAAAAAAAAAAGTTTTCAAGGGTAAACATTGCTCCCACTTTTGGGTGGTTTGTTTTTTTTTTTTTAGACCTCAGCCTCATTATTTCAAATTCATTCAAATAATTTATGCAGTTAATATTTTTTAAATATTTTTCTTAAATAGTTCTTATATACTTAACAATTTTCCCCAAACATATTCTAGATTTTCTACACAATTTTCTTTGATATTCCCAGAAGTTTCCTAAGCTTCTTAGTTATATAGAAGAAAGCTTCCTATATCCCACCCTAAATCATATACATATATCCCTATCTATAAGCCACAATTAAATCCCACATCTATATAGAACCGTAGACAATTATCTTAAACCCCAATCACGTGGTAGAAAGTTACGGGAAAATACTGAAAGAAAAACTGTGCCCAAATTCGAATAGCAAATGAGGCCCGAGACAGAACTTCTCTAAATTGCTAATAAATCGCCACAAATTGGGACTTGTCTCATATAATTGGGGGACCGTGTGTACTCCGTGTACTTCGCCTCCCAGGATCCCCCTTCCAATGGGAGGCTTACGGCGGTGTCTGCTGCTAATCCGCACAAATTAAATGCAATTGAAATAAATTTGCATGCCAAGAGATTGGCAAATAAATGTATGCAACAAGTGTCCCAATTGCATACAATTTATTGGCAACAAATATTCCAGCCAGGGCATAATAATAATAGAGCAAGCTACCCAAAGGCCCTCGATTTTGATAAAAAAAAAATGAAATGAAATGAAATAGAAATTCCAGGCAGCTGCAAAAGTTCACAAGTGTTAATTGTTGCCTCAATTTGGATAAATTTCGATAATTGCCAAGGTATTTTCAAGGGGGGAAGTCTAGACTGCACAGTATGTGGCATCACGGGACGAGGTTTATTTCGATTACGGGGTAAATTAGGTCCTTCTGTAACTTTGACAATGCTTCCATATACCTTTATTAAGTTCTATACCAAATTTCAGAGCTATAACTATAACATTATAGACACAATCTCTGACTCAAAACACAGACAACTCAATAGAAAAAGTCAAAAGAATTCCAACAAGAACAAAACAAGAATACTTGGCATAACCAAACGAGAAACGGAGACAGCCAAAAGTCCATTTCGATCTCATAAATGTTAACGGTCATTCACCAGAGCGGGGGGTAGAAATAACAATGGCAACAAAAAACAATGCCAAAAAAGGGGAAAATATATGTTTTGTCTTCTCACCAAAGTCGAATATTTAAATATCCTAACTGGTTGATATTTTTATTCCTAGAAACTGATGGGAATTTGTGATTTTAATTTATTATAAAGAAATACAAGGTCTTGTGTTATTTGTTAATTAATAATATTAATTAATTTAATCATAATTAATATTAATAAATTGATTGTGAGCTTACTGAGATAATAATTATTTAAAATAATATTTATTATATATATTATTTATTAATATTGTAAATACTTTTTTACACTTTCGGAGCTTATTAAATTATACAAAAATTTAAATACTTCTTGGAGAGATTATTTTCTTCATTCATTATATTTTATTTTAAAGAAAACCCTTTAAAATGCATCCAATTTAAATAAATATTAAATATCTCTCAAAAATAAAATCAAATAAAATTAAAAATAGCCACAAACCTCATCCCATAGCCTACCAACTCTAATCACAATCGCAGGGCAGTGACAGTGCCGCCAAGCCACATTATTTATTATTTGTTATATTCAAGAGCTGGGCTCTTTTTGCTGGTCAAGCGAAAGAAATCACTTGATATGCAGGCGAGAATAAAGCAGAACAGACCCAAATCGAGTTGGTTCTGACCAAAAAAGATGGAGATCTCGCGCGAGACGAGACAAAAGGCGACAAGAAATAAACCTGATCGTAGCCAGACTCGGACTTGGATTTAGATACAGATTGAGACCGAGGCAGAGATATTCCCCCTGTCGTCCACTATCACAAGATCGAGGAGGCGGAGGAGGAGAGTCGCCGGGGTTCCGTTTGAAAGTTGAACTTTTTGTGTTCGCCGCCAATCTAGTTGGCATTGACCGCAAACCATCAAAGCAATATCTTGTTAACTACACAGGGAAGAAATGTTAATATTAAGATGCTGTTAGATTTAAATATAAAATTTGGTTTTTATATTCAAAGGTCAAACAATTAGGAGAAAGTTACAGTATTAGAGTACTTAAAATTGCTGTTTTTATAATGTATTATAGTATTTCTTGTAATTAAAATCCTTTTGAATATATTAAATAGAAATTAAGCATTATCCTCTGTGTATAATCAGACGCAAACTCATTGGGGCTTTAACTGATGGCTTCGACTGCTTAGCTGCCACTTTCGGTGGCAGGCAGGTGTCATAACTAGCTTGCCATTACACCTCGCAGCGAGTGGGGCAACGTCTCCGATTTGGCAACAGTTGCCAAAAGCAAGTGCAAAATGTGTCGGCCCCAAAAGCTGCTCATACTAATTGATAACTCTGCTGAAAAATACAAAAAAACAAATAATAATAAATAAACTAACCAAATATGAACTTGGCTATGACAAAGCGGAATGTGTTAAATCTGAGAATGGCATGTACATCGTTATCTGTGGGAATCAGAGTTACTAAGCCCCCCAGATATTTGCCTACTAAATGCTTTATATGTATATTTATTTTTAAGTATTATAATTACTATTTATATTTATATTTTAAATAATTATCTAGCTAGTGAGTCAAAGGAAACCTCTTTGATTAAGTGATTACCCTTGGCTCAGTTTGTGTTCGCTATCGGGCATCTTTACACTATTTATTATATATGTGTATGGGTTATCTGCAACACTCAGGATCTTTTGATTTCAAGACAATAACATGTCTCATATGTCATGTCTTAAAAAGATAAGAATCTTGTCGGAGTCCATCACTTACCTGGCTGGGCCCAGATAATTCGAGGTTGGAATTTCCTTTGTGTAACTTATTTTAAAATCTTATATATTTTTACAAGTTATTAACTTTTGGAAATTTCGCTAGATTTCTCAGATAACTTATTAAAACATTAATATTATTATTACAAATTATTCAAAAATTCCTTGGCAACTATACTCAGAGATAGTGGAGTTTGACCGCAGATATCTCGGGATCTTCTGTTGCAAACCTTTTGAAAATTCCCAGACAGGGGCCAGAGACAATGACCCAGGCACTCAGCTAGACAGTTTTACTGGGTTCGGCCTGACAGCCAAGAAACACTTTCAAAACCGCAGCGGATGGCTTGAACTGGGTCACCAAACCGCAGTCGCCACTCGAAAAGGCCACGCCCACGCCCCCCTCTGAAGGTGTCTGGTTTTAACGATTTTTTTTTTTTTTTTTTTTTTTTTTTTTTTGTTAAAATACCAAACGAGAAATTACCGTACGCTGTCGGCCATTTTGAGACCTGGCCCCCAAAAACCTGTTGCCTTTAAATCGCAGTAAAACAAAGCAAAGTGTCGCTTAAAAATAAATATATTTAACAATAAAATGAAAAAAAAAAAACAAGGGGAATAATTAATTGCCTAGCGTTAATTGAAATGAATAAATTAAATTAAACAGGCATTTTGGCCATCTCCGAAGTGCTTGGAAGTTGGCCCCCGCCGTTGGGCGGCGTGGTGTTGCCCACTGTGGTCGTGCCCGGGTGCCGGAGATGAAGCAGCGGCGAGTCCACAGTGTCCAGACTGCTGATATCCGGATATCGGATCTTGGTGGACGATGAGGGGGGCGCTGAGCCCAGGTCTCGATAAGCATTGATGTCGTTTTCATGGTCGGGATTGGGAAATTCGCTGGCCAAATGGTAGATGACCTTCTTGAACAGGAACTCGGAGAGGTTGGTACGCAGGAAGAAGAGGAACATCCAGTTGGAGAAGTTGCACTTGTCAATCACCGCAGACAGTTCGTTTTCGTCCAGTCTGCCGGGCTTTGCCCAATACAGAGACCAGCGGGTGAAGGTGACACTAAGACAGGGAGGAGAAGGTTTACAAAGGATATTACAGAGGTGAGGGGATATCTCTGTTTCAATATACCAACTTACTTTCTGTAGAAACACAGCGTAAACAGTCGCCAGATGAGGCCCAGCACGGTGACCACCAGAAGGAAGGCATACCAGAACCACAAAATTGTGTAGATCTTCTCATTCATTATATTCAAAGCCATGACGCAGAGCGTATCGTGATCCTGCAGCGATCCGGAGGCACCAAACTTGTGGAACCTGCACTTGGTCACCTTGGGAAAGACCAGGTCCAAGATGCTCACCTCATTGGACCACCGGGCCTGCAGAGCCTGCGGTCCCAAGGACAAGAACTGGCCACCCAAAAACCGATTCGTCCAGGTGATTTGTATCAAAAGATTCACCAGATTCAGGATCTCGGCAAAGACCAAGTGAGCTCCCCAGGATTGATTCAAACGCATCCTATCGATCATCGTTCGCCGAATGTCCTTGATGCGCTCCTCCGCCTCGGCCATGGATGGTATGTTCAGCTTTCCTATCCTCAGACTGTCATTCTTCAGGTATCTGGTGAGACCCACCATGCGCAGGCCAAAGACCAAAGCCTTGACCCGACCGCCCTCCCACTTCTTCCACAGAAAGTGTGGTATGTAGAAGCACAGGGCCTGGAAGAACAGGACGAAGGGCACCCACTGGTAGTAGGCATGCCGCTTGATCGTGTGCTTCTCGGGATCATAGTGCCCGATGCCGGGGGGCTCGCTGCCCGGCTTGAAGGCGGTGTGGTTCAGGTCACGCACCTAGTGGGGGGTGAAGATAAGTGATAACTAAAAGGTATTCCGGAGGGTAACTTTGTGTTCCCTAAGAGAACTTATTGCTTCTAGTGACCCCAAACCCTTGAGATCTTTATCACTGTCGGGGTATACCCTTTTTCCAATTTTGGATTAGATAAAATCAAAGGTCTTAAAGGTGACCCCATCACTTACCACTGTAAAGGTCGGCGTGAAGAAACAAAAGGTGTTGATGACCGGAGCTATGACACCATCGGAAATGCACTGAATATGCTCCCCGATATACTGACGCGACGTGATCAGCAGGGTGGCCACCAGGAGCATTACAAAGGTCCATCGGTAGTGGAGCTTGAACACGATGTTGTCGATGACAACCCGCGTTATATCGAACTTGAGGTACTGCCTCACCGAGCTGAAGGTGTTCAGCATTGTGCCGTCGCCGGTGTGTTATCTCCGCGTTCCGATTTCGCTTTTTTGGATCTCTTAGCTTTCGGTTAAGATTACAAAGAAATGTTCTGGTGTCGGATGGATTTGGGTGCGCTCCGCTTGTCGCGGCTAGCTCCTCGCAACTGCAAGGCTCGCGACTCGATACTCAGCTCCGGGTTGCCGTATCCCCCCTCCAAAATCACAATTCTCCGTTCTACGTATTCTTCGGGAGAGGGTTTTCCATTCCGGCTGGCGTCTGTCTTATCGAGCTCTCTTTTTGGCCAAGGAGAGACGGCCATAGCCGATAAGATAGTGTAGCCCAGTGCCGGAGAAGCGCCAAATCAGCAATTTAATTGAGTTTAATGCAGAGTTGTCCAAAAGGGGAGAACCTACTGGGTGTACGTACAGCTACACTGAGGGAAACTATGTTGGATATATCACAGACAAAGTCTAGATTTTTGGTAAATATATTTTGAAAGGAAAATGGGTTTCTCAAGAGCCAGTTTTACTTGTAGAACCTTTTTAAAAAACATTTCAATTGATTTTTTTGCCCAGTGTATCAAGTATCTCGCTCTTTTTCTCTCTCTGTGAGCAATCCAAGTTTCTGGGTAGTACTACCTCTTATGGCTACTTCGTTTTGCCTTCGGCAAGTGGCTTACTGAAAAGCCGAATGGCTTGAACCTTTTGGGGTTCTCCAGGGTTCTCCCGGGTTCTCTGGTTGCAAAATTATACCCAGAAGGTGAGCGGGAATCGGAGACAGAGAGAGAGAATGAGTAAACCCAGAGCAAACTTAATTAGAGATCCAAAAACAGGCATATAGGCATTCCACTAAACAAATGATTCAGGGGATAATAATACATGTGACTCAAAGGAAAGAAGGATTGCCAAGTAGCCTCCAATTGAAGTTTCCAGAGATTGCAAATATACATTTGCAGTTCCTAAAATACTGCCATGAGTATTTGGAATTGTATAATGGAAATATCAAGAGTATTTCAGCATTTTATGGAATAATAAATAATTGACCCACATCGAGTCTGTATTTAAGATCTTAAAATGGATGATATCTCAAGTGTTTGCCTATGAATCAGACTTGGGATCCCAAAACTTTATAATAATAATATTTCAAATATTTGGCGGCCACAATCTTATCTGCTAGTCAATCCCCCAAAGACAATGCCGGTTTCGTTAGCCTCTTTTTTGGGGACCCAGAATGTCGGCCCAGAGATCCGTACTATCAGTTGCCAAGTATCTATATCTGTTGCTTATCTTAGTGGCCCGACTTGGTCGTCGCATTCGGTGCTTATTACTTGAGCGCTTAAGTGGCGAACGTGGTCGGATAAGATAGACCTCTCAGATATAGACGGCGTGCGTAACCAGAGACCGTATATATTAGTAATTGCAACATTTTTAGCCGCTTGACTGGCCAAGACGACGACGGCGGCGGCTCGAATTTTCCTCCTCCTCTAGGGTTTCGCTGGAAATTGTTGTTATGTTGTGGTGATTTCTTTTTTTATGATTATTTTTGTGACGAAAGTTCATTGATTCATTGGATACGAAATTCGAATATCGGTCGAATTGCTCTAGATACAGGTACAAAGAGATATATAGAAGTAAAGGCGATTTTGCATTGAAATTGAAATAAAGCCAAACCGCAATGAAAACGAAATTCGAACCATTCAGGCAAGGCGTCCCAGCACTTTACCCTCGGCGAAAGATTTGATTACCAGGCATATATATGAATATAAGCTATATTTTTTTTATATATACAACCATAAGCCACAAGCCCATAAATATTTAGCTGAAAAAGTGAAAGTGTTTCAACGCTAAAAGAATTTTATAATATTTATATTAAGTTAAATTATAGAAATTTATTTTTACATTCAACTCAAAACTACATTTGTTTAGCTTTCTAATCATCAAATATCAAAGTTTAATGTCCGTTCATTTATTGAAAAGTTGTTGTCCGCTAAAAGGCTTATTTTTTAGGTCAAGTCAAGTCTCAAGTCTTTCCCAATTCAAGTCGTAATTACTGCCTGACAAGTGTTTTTGACATTTATAGAGAAGTCATATCAGAGTTTCTTTAATTAAACCGATTGCAATACGATATTTATGTAAATGCCAGCAAAAAGCTGACTTGTCAACAAGCATTCTTGATATTCCAAACACTTTTTTGCATATTTAAGCGTATTTTCTTCAAGTTTTTTTTTTTTTTTTATAGGGTTAAGGTTTATATATACTCTCTACAATCTGTAATTTAGAATTTTGTATTTATTTCATTGGGTTTTATTTGCTTTGATGCTGTGCCGCCACAGCAATTGATTAGGCAAACCAAAATCAAGTATCCCAGTATCTGAGTATCCACGCGATACTTGGCGACAACCAGCTTGAAAACAAATAAACACAGATCCATTTTGCGTTGAGCTTGCTCTCAAGTTGCATAAGCGCGCTCCCACGGGAAAAGTATCTTCAGAATGAGGCCTGTATCTTCTTTCTCTTCGGGTCTTTAATGCGTGACGCAGACAACTTTTCGGCGAATTTTCAGACGTGTTGATGTTCGATTTCGCTCGCCAGAGGATGACTAAGGCAAATTAATTAACCAGCGGGAAATGACGATCGCACACGGAGAGAAAAAGAATATATAAATAAAAAATAAAAAAATAATAAATATAAAAATAAAATATTAATAAATAAAATATGGATAATATATAAATAAAAAGAGATAAATAAGTAAAGACAGATATGAATTATATCTTTTTTTATATTTCTTTTGGCTTTTTCTAAATACATTTTCATCTGAAAAAGCGTACTTAAAAAATATTTAAATAATATCTTTGACTTCCTTGATGATGTATCTTTAAGTAACATTTTTCTTTGTGCAGCGTGTGAAAGATACTGATACTGACATAAACAATACTGAATTCAAGCCAATCGCCGATCAAAACAAACTTTATCTAAACATTTATTCCTGGGCTTGTGTCTTATCATGTCCCAAGATTTTCCCAACTTCTCCTTTCTTATATATGTATATTTATATATACATATATTTTTTTAGCAATATTTTATAACTTGTGCGAAAATTTGAGACATGTTTCTGCTGACAACAGAAAATGGGGGATTGATTTGGATCCAATATGATTTATTATAGGCCATTAAGGCTTTAGCTCTCAGTCCGGCGCTATTTATAGCCCAGACAGTAGTCGTCGCTTTTTTTTTTAGGGATATATCCATATGTGTATATACTCTCACATATAGGCCTAATGGTTTTATAACAGATTTTTATTGTCGATCGCCGCCCGTCTCTCAGGTTGCAATGTCAATAATACTTATTGATTGAGAGAGGACCCAGAGACCCGTGGCGTGGGTCGTTTATTTATGTTTTATTTTGCACAAATAATTTACATCTTTCCCGCGGGGCTATATTTTCCTGTTCCGAGCTCAGATTTGCCGATAAAAAAATATAAATCAAGTCATCGGCTTTTGTGAGTCTATTTAGCGGCAGGTTTACGTAAATAGAAAAATGATCATAAATCAATTTTCTGCGATTTTACTCAAATTGGCGTTTATATGCTAAATTTAATAATTTTATTCATTAACTTTAATGTACACAGATAATTATATGTTATGTATTTAAATCTTATTAGGTTTTAGATGATTTTAGAAATAAATAATAATACAATATATAATATAATAATAATATTAGATCAAAGTCCAGCTTAAGATCTAACATAAAATCTAGTTTTTTTATGTCTTCAAAACGGAAATAACCCATAAACCCTGCTAGACAGTGTTTGTTTTTTGTTTTCTCTTTGGGTTTATCTCACGAAACCCTGAAAAAACCTTGGACACTACGAAGTTCCTCTTCGCTGAATGTCAGTCAAGTGGAACCTTCAGACATCGCCAAGTTCCCAATTCCCAATCTCCGATCTGTTATGTTCCATATCAGTCCAGATCTTTGCTGTTATAACACCCTTGCTTGTTTTTTTCTATAGTTTTTTTTCTTATCAGTGGAAATACTGGAAGACTGAAACTAGCCGAGAATTACGACATCCTAGACTGCTCTAATGCTCTTGTACAATCGAATTCAAGCACTCGAGGACTACTATATAGGCTATATGTATGTACATATATTAGTATTTACCAAGATAAGCCGCATTTCGTGGATTGAAATGTTTAATTTACAATTGAGATAGTTTCTTCGGGGACAGGTAGAAAAGAAAAAGAATCTCGGGTGAGCGAGTTAGCGCGACAGAGAGCGTTGGAAAGAAGGAAGAACGAGTGTAACAGGTAGTTGAGGTTGAGGGACACCTCACTCTCTCCCTGGAAGGGCACGAAAAATCCGCTAAATGTGTTTTTCCACTCTTTTTGGTACCTGGAAGTCAGGTAAATTCTGGTAATTGTTTTGAAAATTATCAAGTTAATGTCTATGTGTGTGTGAATGTGCAGGTATAGAAATGCAGTGAAAGCCATGATTCCAGCATTTCTCATACATCTCCTTTGTGGCGCTCTTCTACTCTCTCTCGCTCTAGCTCTGGCTCTCTCCCTCCTTGGCTCTGTTGTTGTGTCTTTGTCTCCGTTGCCTGTGTTGGTGATGGAGCAGCAGCTCCCCAGCTAAACAAAAACCACTCCAGCATCCACAACCAACTCAATTGACAACGGGTTCCAAGAACTTGTCGCCTCCGCACTTCGCTCACACACACACACATACACATACACAAATGGAGTTTCAATATGGCAGATGATGAGTTAAAAGTTCGAGGTTTTCTTGCTGCCTTATGGAGGGGGTGTGTGGGAAGGGAGGGGGCTAAGTGCATTGGTCGTTGGCGTTGCCAGATGGAATTAAATCATAAATCTTCGGCTGATGAATAAGCCACAGCATAAAAGAAACTTAACCCTAGAAGGTTGACAATTTTACTGAAAAGTTTTAAATGAAAATTTGTTTCCCAAATAGCTTTTAATGTGATTTTTTTGCAGTTCGTAAAATAGCAAATAATAATCTAATCTAATTTTAAATATTTATATAATTCTAATTAAATACCACTGCCGCTTTATAAATTCCTCTGCTCAAATAGAACATACCCTCAATTTATCTGTTTTGAAAATTGAGGGTTAATTCCGACTAAGGCTGCCAGATATTGGATGAAACCTTGATTTGTTTGCACGAAACCCTTTGCAATTGCAGCAGTTGCAAAGAAATCGGTGCAACGGCTTTGAACTGAACAATCGCCTAAACATAATCCTAATAAAACAATAAAATGTGAGTAATTAAGTTCGGTCTGCTTCCTTTAGGTTTTTTTTTTTTTATTTATTATTTGTTCTTTCCTGCAGCAGCTTGAGTGCCATCTCTGAGTCATGAGTGAGTCTTTGTTTCTCTTTCGCTCTCCGGGAGCTGGATTTGTTACCCTTTTGGAAAATACGCAGCTTCATTTACTGAGAAAGAGAGGGAGAGGAAAAAGAGAGGCCGTGTGAGAGAGCGTCACTCAAATAACAAATAAGTAAGCTCGACTATAAGATACCATACTTTGAGTTAAATAAAGTAATAGGTGGGGTTACTCAGCTGCTGATATTAAAAAATATAAAAATAATAATATAAAACATAGCATATAAATGAAAAATATAAAAATATAATTCGTCATGAGGCAGGAAGAAGTACTTACTTTACTTAGATTCTTAGAAAAATAAATAAAAATCAACATTTATATGTATACTAGGATGACACCGAGTCAGACTACCCTTGCACTCAATGAGAACTGGGCATAACAAGATCCACCCCATGTGGTGGAGTTTAAGTTTACCTGCGAGCGACAGAGAGAGCGCGATAATGGCGTGGGAGAGCTGCTCTCCAGCGCTCCGTCTCTCCGACGCTCCGGCTCTCTCTCGCTCGCGACGCCGTTTAACGGAGCCAAACGCCTGGGCTCAGCGAAAAGCCGAACAGTTATAGTTTTCTATCCGAAGCGCTCAGTGCCGCTGCGACGGAAACAGCTACCTGGGTAACCGTAACCGTCGTGGTATCCACTCACTCACTCTCTCTCTGTCCGCGTTGAGAGCGCGAAAACTGAATCCGAATCCGACTCGAATCCGAGGCAAACGTAACGAAGGCAGCCGAAAGCTCCCTGGTGATCTCGATCTCTGTTCTCTGCGATCGCTGCGCCCGCAGTTACTACTATTTTTTTCGTGTGCATTCCTGAAACAGAAACTGAAGAGTAATGGTGGACAACGTGTGAGCACTGCCCAGCCAGCCAGCCAGCCAGCACCGAAACACCGCCAGAAACCACGACGACAGCTTAGCCAGCTTAGAGCAGAGCAAAGCACCTGCAACAGTGTCCACCATCCCCATTCCCGTGTGGTGTAACCAGTCCAAGTCCAAGCCGTAGGCCAGAGACGCCGCCAAGATGTTTGATGTTTTCGGGTCCGTCAAGGGCCTGCTGAAGATCGACCAGGTGTGCATCGACAACAATGTGTTTCGCATGCACTACAAGGCCACGGTGATCATCCTGATCGCCTTCTCGCTCCTGGTCACCTCGCGCCAGTATATCGGTGATCCGATTGATTGCATCGTGGACGAGATTCCGCTGGGCGTTATGGACACCTACTGTTGGATCTACTCCACATTTACCGTGCCGGAGCGTTTGACCGGTATCACAGGTCGGGATGTTGTGCAGCCGGGCGTGGGCTCGCATGTGGAGGGCGAGGATGAGGTGAAGTACCACAAGTACTACCAGTGGGTGTGCTTCGTCCTCTTCTTCCAGGCCATCCTCTTCTATGTGCCGCGCTACCTGTGGAAGTCCTGGGAGGGCGGTCGCCTCAAGATGCTGGTCATGGACCTCAACAGCCCCATTGTGAACGAGGAGTGCAAAAATGATCGCAAGAAGATCCTTGTCGACTACTTCATTGGCAACCTGAACCGGCACAATTTCTACGCCTTCCGTTTCTTCGTCTGCGAAGCCCTCAACTTTTTGAATGTCATCGGGCAGATCTACTTTGTGGACTTCTTCCTGGACGGTGAGTTCAGCACGTACGGCAGCGATGTGCTCAAGTTCACCGAGATGGAGCCGGACGAGCGCATCGATCCGATGGCCCGAGTGTTTCCCAAAGTGACCAAGTGTACCTTCCACAAATACGGTCCCTCCGGCAATGTGCAGAAGTTCGACGGACTGTGCGTGCTGCCGCTGAATATTGTCAATGAGAAGATCTACGTGTTCCTTTGGTTCTGGTTCATCATCCTGAGCATTCTGTCTGGCATCTCGCTGATCTACCGGATCGCCGTGGTGGCGGGTCCCAAACTGCGTCACCTGCTGCTCCGCGCCCGCTCCCGCCTGGCCGAGAGCGAGGAGGTGGAGCTTGTGGCCAACAAGTGCAACATCGGCGATTGGTTCCTGCTCTACCAGCTGGGCAAGAACATCGATCCGCTCATCTACAAGGAGGTCATTGCCGATCTGTCCCGCGAGATGGGCGGCGACGACAACAAGCGGCCCTTCGACGCCTGAGCCGGAGTCCGGAGTCCTGAGCGCAAGCCCGAGCCCAAGTGCCAGTAAGTATCAAAGATATCAAGTCAAAAATATAATTATATACCCTCCCCTTGATAAGAAACCCGATTAGTATCAGAAACACACATATATGTATCGATATTTATCGATGTAATACCTACAACATATCGAAAAAAGACATCTTTAATAGCTTTTCAACTTTTGTAAGCAGTTTTTCGTATAAAAAGAATATCCCAAGATCTTAATGATTGTAAAATTTATGTTTTTCCGACACAACAAAGAAATACTTTTCACTGAGAGAGCAAAGAGAGGGAGAAAACGAAAGAGAGAGAGAGAGAGAGAGAGAGAGTTCTTCTGGTCTTACGCGCTCATTTAAGCGTAACGCTAGCAGCATAAAAAAGAGCTGTAACCGGCTTCGGTGCAAGCGAGATGGCAGCTGCGCATGCGCAACAGCCAGCGATAGCTCCATCCTGCTCAATCGCATAGAGCACGAGGGAGAGGGGGCAAACCAGTTTGACCAGCAGTTAGTTGGAGACTGTTGCCAGCAGGGCAAAAGAAGAAGAAAAAGAAACAAAAAAAGAAGCTAAAGATTCTTTCAGACTTCTTTTAGCTTGGCATTTCTCTACTTGATGCCCTCTGAAATTCCCCATAAGCGGTTGTTTACCTTCCACGACCATTTTGTACCAAATACCTATGATAGTTTCCATTATAGTGATCGTGGGTGGAAGTGATCATTAAAATATGCAAGATTTAGGTTCTGATTATTGAGCGGAATGTTACTGGTCAACACTGAATTCGGGTTTTTATAGCACTTTTCAATACTGATTTTGGTATACCATAAAAATAACTATTCAAAGTCAGTAATCCAATAAAAGTTATAAAATATTTGGACAATTCATAAGATAAACTTTACTAATTGCATAATTATTTTATAGATTTTATTTGATAGAAACAGAAAAAAATCCCTTTCAAAATCAGTCTAGATATAATTTTAAAATGGTTTTACCAACACTAGAAGTAGAGTGATCAATATTTCTCATTAAAGATGTTTTAAAGTGATTTAAACTTTTTTGACAGAATACATAGCGAGCTCGTTTTTAGGTTAAAAATTCTACATTGATCATAGCAAACTACAGGGTATTTGTTAGTCTATTTGTAACAGCCAGTGTTGATCAGAAAACCAAGCTTGTTAGCTCATTTATTAGTCGTTTCCATGGCCTCTGATTTTCTTAAATTGCCTCGGCCTCAAGATTTTGATATTCTTAAGAGCTATGCTGTGCAATGCTATATATTTCATGAACTTGATAACAGAATTTAAATTTGATATTTATATAGTATGATTTACACTTAAATTGTGTTTTTATCATAATGGTTAATTTTAATATTTATCTCAGTTACCATTTAAAATCCCCTTTAAATATTTAGCTAAACATGAAATTGGGATTCACGTTTTGGGTTTCTTTCGGTGTGTTTAGGTTATTTTTTATTTTTGGGCACAGCAGCGGCGTTGCCGAACTTGGAGATAAGGAAACGTAGCCTCTCAACGTCGCTGCTCCGTCTGTCGGTCGGACTCGTAATCAGCATGAAGTCGAGAGTGGCGTCGACTTGACTTTACCCCGGGCTCGGCCCGTCTCGACTTGGATTGCGTTGCGTTGCCCAATGTGCAGACATTTTCCACTGGGAGGCGCGGGACATGCAATGCCAATTAGAAGTTGGGCAACTACGTGACAGTTTGGGGCACTTATCTAATCGAGGGCGGGGGCTTCCAGAGCCAGATGCAAGGGGGAACAGCAACAGAAACAGACCTGATAAGGTGCCAAGATACAGATACCACGAGATGCCGAGATACAGATAAATGAACAGGCACAGATGCTGTTGCCGTTGATTGGTGACAAAGTGTTGCAATTAGCACACATTTTCATTTTCATTCCATTTACATTTTCATTCTCATTTCGAATCCGAATCGGACAGACAGACCCCCCTCTACCCACCCCGAAATGGCCTCCTCACCTCTCAAGATCAGAGATCACAAGATCCATATGGATCTCTACTGGACCGTACCGTAGTTTCAATTAATGGCTGCTGGCTGGCACACAATTTAAGCGGCCTCCTCCGCAGCTTTTGATGCCTGCTGATGATGATGATTGTAATCAACAAATAAGCTACTGTTTGTTGTTTTTTTTTTTTTATATACCCAAAGTACACTCATGTGGTTTTCGTCTGACCGCCAATTTGAGGTATCAATGAAATGAATGAATGAATGGACCGCTCTGTCACACCCAAAAGCCCACTTCCCACCACCCACTTGCCAGAGGCTTAGGCTTACTATGCCACATTTTGAATGGAAACGATAGGCAGGCACGCGAAAACTATTGCTCTCCATTTTATTTGTACTTTATTTTGTTATTTTCACCATGCACGCACTTAATTCGCCAAGTCGGCAACTCATTTCCCAGGCTTTTAATTGCATTAATTGCTTTCAATTAGCGCCACAGCGCTGAGAATCGAGCCGGAGAATAATGTCCAAAAGTGAAACTCAAATTGGAAAAACTAGAAACGTTGAAAGTTCGGAAAAATGTAAACAATTATTTTCACTAGATCTTGGTAAAAGTTATTGTTTAGTTATTCTCAGGCCATTAGGGTTTATTCTCTAATTGATTTATGCGGTTAATATTTCGTATAAAATTAATGTGAAATTAATTCAAAAGATCCAGTTTAAATTTGTAAACTTAAATGTTAATAAATCAAAGCAATATAATGGGGAAAAGGTTTTTAAAAAGGTATTTTAGAAAAGGTATTAAAAATATGGCAGAACTTGTAGTGTATATCAGAATCCCCACCAAAAAGACAGACAGCTGTCAAGGAAACCAAAAAGAATATAGTATATATACACAATCTTATCTTTATTTATTTTTTTTTAATTCTCAGTGTCATCCTTCAGCATAGTTCTGATAAAAGATATATATATATATATTGTGTAATCCCAAGCCATAAAAACTAGTCATTGTTTTATGATAAACCCAACATCTTTCTCCATTTTTCTTTGCAGTTTCATGCAGCCGAAATTGGGTTAAGACGATGATAAGATGCAGTCGGAAAATTGGGGTAATCGGAAATCGGAAATCGGAGCTGAAGGGGGGGAAAACAGAAGCCAAGCCGACAATGTAGATGAGGCCTTTCGAGCTAATGACGAGCTAATGAACACATATCAACGAATTCCATGGTAAAAAACAAGCAACAACCGTTTTGTGTGTACTGTTTTTTACAACCAACAACAAGACACGTACAATTACAACAATAAACTACAACAATCATAACAATAACAGTAACAATAACAATAACAATAACAGATACTAGCCGCAGCCAGAGAGATGTAAGCTATAAGGATGGATCGCTCGGGATCAGGGATAATCAAGAACAAACTCAACAACTCAACAATTCTAGAATTCCCTGATCCCACCGATCCCAGGCCATGCCAATCTCGAAGAGCATTTTTGGAACCTTTAAAAGACAGGAGAAATGACATTTGTCAAAACACTAAATGTACGAGTATATATTATATATTTTTTTGTGCGAGTTATGATAGATCTATACAATACACATACACACACACACATCCATATATATTTTTAGTGAGCAATTACACACATATATATTTATACATAAATATACAGACGTACAGAAAGATATATACATATATATATTTATGAATGCCACATGCGAGTAATATTTATGCTAAGAGTTGTGATCATTGATTAAGACATTTAAAGAAACAAGGAAAAAAAATGCAAAAAAAAATACAAAAAACGACAAACAATAATTTACACTTAGTAAAAAAAAGAACGCCAGCAAATATAATACATATATACTTTATTTCAATTTTTACACTTTTAATTTAGCAATTTTCGCCAGCAAATAATAATAATAAAAACGATAATTTTAGTACTTTAGTTCCCTTATTTTTTTTTTTCATATCTTTGGTAGCATTTATTTAGTTTAGCGCAATTTTTTTTTATACACACACACACATACACACACGAACTCATCGATAAAGAAGAGAAAATCAATTTAAATATATGTATATATATATATTATATATATATATGTATGTTTATAGGCGTATATATTTTTGTAAAGAAAAATCTAAATACAATAAAAATATATATGTATACATTTAGCGATAAGTGTAAGCGTGGAAAAGACAACAAACAAACAAACAAACAAAAAATGAAAGACTCAAAAGCAATATTTAAAAAAAACATAAAAATTAAAGAGGAAAAGCAATGGAAAATCAAATAAATGTTTGTAACAATTTTGCGTGTTTATTCCGCGAGACGATTAGCGAGCCAAGCCCTAAGCTAAGTTTCAATTTCAATTCCATATACTTATAAATACTTACATTAAACGAAAATAAAACCCACACAAAACATGATGATGATTTCTTTATGGTTTATTATTTGTTGTGTGTCCAGCACACACACAACGCACACCACACACACACACACACACACACACACACACACACACGGCCACATTTCATGCGAAAATAAACAAGAAAATAAAACAAGGAAAATCAAAGCAAACATATGGACAAATCTATCTTATCTTGTGGGCTAAGGGGCCCGGAGCAATTACACCCAGAGTGGTTCTGGGGGGGACACTTGAAAGGTTCTCTGTGCTGTGTGTTTTCCCTCTATAGTTTACGATTTACAACCAGTTTTTTTCAGTTTTTTTAGTTCCCGAAACGTGTTTACTTTGAGCAAACTTTGGAACAAACTTAGACTCGGTCTTTGACCCGTTGATCCCCCGGCACCTCGTTCTTTGTTTATATATTTCTTAGTTCCCAGAAACTCTGGTCTAGTCGTGGGACATTTTCTTGAAAAATATATCACATAATCCATTATATATTTTCATAATTTAAAAACAGACCTGGGATCTGTGAAAATGACTTTTTCCGAATTAATAAACAACCCAAGTTGAGTCACTTTTCGTTCGTTTCGGTTGTGGATGTGCAACAGGTGTCGCCTCATTTGCACTTGCACATCCTGTTTATATATGTATATTTATATCGAATACGAATACCTATTGCTATCGGGTTTCCGCTCGTGCCAAATCGACATTAATCCCTTGAAAGTCGGAAAGTATTACTCAACTATTGGTATCGAAGGGTCTGTTTGCGCCAATCGATCCGCAGAACCGGCCCTAGTGAGCTGGCAGCATTATTAATTTACATATAGTAACTTCTTTGTAATGATTATTCTGGGAAGTTTTTAGTCATAAATATATTAATTTAGTCATTATTAAATTTATATTACATTTTTTGATTGTAAAAGTATGTATTTCCTTTTAAATATGATTTAAGGGAAAATCTGTGCCTCTCAGTTGTTTAAATGTGATAATTTGCAGAATATTTTGCAAGATTAATTTATTAATTTTTAATGAAATGACTAATTTAAAATAAATAATATTTAGTTAAAAAAATATATAAACTAAATATGATTTATTTCTAATTAAATGAATAATTTAAAATAAATAATATTTAGTTTATCTGGTCAAGTATTTTGAAATTTTTCACATTTATAAACTACACCTTAAATTAAACAATAAATAAATTATTTAAAAAATAATAAAGAAAAATATATTAAATAAATAAATAATTTTACAAATTTCCACTCGCTTGGCACTATAATTCCCAACTAGTTCTAGCATCTTATGGTACAAGTAAAATATTAAAACTTGAGGGGAAACCCTTTACATCCTTAAGGTTTATGATATGTTTAAGTGTATAAAATATTAAATATATTTATTTTATATATTAGTATTCCCCATATTAGCTAATCTTTAGATTGATTTAACTGCAATATCCAACTTTAAATTGTCGCAATGCCTAGTAATGCTCCGCTCCGTCGTCTCCATTTACATCGAAAGTGTGGCAATAGACGGCCGAGAAGATAGATGTTGAGCAAATTAGCATATCAAATTGAGTTAAACGCTGCAATTGGCCCCAATAAATACGTGAACAAATATTACGGCATGCGGAGAGCTAAGGAAAGCGAAAACGCGAGTGCGAAAATGGAAATGGAAATGGGAAACGGGTTCGAGGAACTCTCGCATACAAAGCAAATGTCAAAGTTCTTTATTTAATATGTGTTTTTTTTTTATTGAATTGAATTTATTATTTGAAATGCATTCCAGGGCTAAAAAATTAGCTTGGGAGAGACTCAATTGTTATGTCTGGCAGGGCACTTAAAATGGTTATTATTTTTAAAATAATTTATATATGTATATCTGATAAGCTATGGAAATGGTTTTATATTTTAGTAAATTGTTTGGGGTATTATTTTTAAATATTAATATTGAATTTAATGTTGAAATAAATGGGATTTAAATGATTGTAGAAACTAAATTCTAATTTTAACTAGTTTAAGCTGATACCTTTAGGAATAATCGCTGGATTTGTATTAAATTAATTCTAAATATTCAGTTAGATATAGCTAATTATCCGTATATATCTCCGACACCCTCTAAACTGAACAATCATGGGGGGTATATTTATCTTAAATACGGAACACACACCGACGACCTTGCACTTGCAATTGTCGGCTGAATTTCGCTTAATTTTGCCACAAAAGAATTGGAATTAGAATTCGAGCAACACCCACAAGCCCACCCATCACCCACCACCCACCGGGTGATGATCACTGCCAGTGGCGACCTCTGGCGGCTTACGTAAGCCACCATTTCACGTAAGCCCCTAAATTTTTCGCCTCGCCATACAATTTATTTATTTAAACAAAATGCCAGTTGCCGCTGACGGGTTTGTGGTCTCTGTTGTTTCGCCGTCAGATTTATTGTTATGCGTTTTTTTTTTTCATTGTTTTTGTTGCCTTTTCCATATAAAAGGTATATATCTTTGTGACTAGACTGTATTCCCGTGATAAACATAAATAATTGTACCATATAGAATGAGTAATGAAGCCCATTTTGATCAAAAACAGACATTTTTAAGACACAAAACAAGTGCCAGCTGGAATTATATGTAATTTTGGTTTTAAAACAATAAGAGTTGGTCTGTTTTTAAGCTTGAAAAATGGTATAGGAACTTTGAGAGTAACCTTTATATATAATTAATAAATATATCATAAATAAATATAATATATAATTAAAATTAATTTAATTTTTCCATAAAAATGTTATGAATTAATATAAGAATTTTTACCTTGATAAGATAGTGTTTTTATTTGCTTATCTTGGCGCCTGTCTGCATATAAATATTTTTTGTTATAATCTATCAAACGACCTCTAACCTCTTATAAATCGATTAATTAAATATAAATACACATTTTGATATCAGTTGAAAACTCTTGCATTAGCATATCACAATTCTGTATGCGTAAGCAATTTATACTTAATATATTTTGTATATTTTTTGTTTTGTTTATCGCAAATGGCAGAGACTTTGTAAGCAAATCCTTCTCGAAATGTTGATCAATTTTCGCTTTCATTTCTTTTTTTTATTGTTGTGGCGACTTCTTTTGTTTATGGCGCACTTTTTGTGTTTGGCAATATAATTGAGGGAAAATGAGTAAAGCTTTTGCGAAATCAGATGCGTCTGCTTCTGGTTTCTGGCTTCTGGTGCCTGCACTTAAGCTATATGCTTCTTAACCATCGAATTGCGGAAGTCTCAATCGTTTTTAATGAGCCTCAAATAGCAGTGACACAGAAAATTCTGCTCAGCATGATCATATAGTACCTTCATTTCATACCCTGCAATTATTTCGTCTATGCCAGCCTTCATTTTTGTAAATATAAATCAATTTGGTCATAAAGTACACAAACTACTCTCAGATGTAATGCAAACAGTCGAAATATTAGTCTATTGAATCATTTCCGGTGCAAACATTTCAATTTATTGACTCAACTGTTGAGTTCTAAAAACTAAAGGGTGTTACCAGTGCTAATTCATGATTAATTTATGGTCGTTTGCTTTGGGTTTTTTTTTTAATTTAAATATATTTGTAAGGTAAAATCAGGGCTTTATATTTAATTGTAAATATTTGTGGATGTAAGTATTTATTTTTTATAAGAATTTAATTTTTAAATGCATTTATATTCATTTTTATAAGAATTTATGAAATTTTAAGGTATTACTTGTGGGTTTTTTATAGCTTTGAAGGGTATTTATGCTGTGAAGAAAGCATTTCCGACCCCATAAATCATATATATTCTGAATCAGCATCAACAGGAGAGTCGATTTGGACAAGTCCCAGACAAATAAATTTTTTATAAATTTTTTCAAAAATTTTATAAGCGGTTACATCGTTAAAATGTTCAAAAATTTGTACAAAAATTTAATTTAAAATAAACTTAAATTTAGTATGCATATTTATAAATCTTATGAAAACTAAAACAAACCCGCTTTCCGAGTTAAATTTAATGCATTTTTAGCTTAGTTATGGATTTTTAAAATTTAGGTTAACGGGAAGAATTTCCCATTGGATCTGTTTTTCCTATTTTCCCCCTCTCTCCCCCTCTCCACCCTTTTTTTTTTTTTGTGCCAAAGACAATCAGCGTTGCTAATTAGCTGGCCAGACAGACGGAGCCGCATTCTATGCAAAATGCTCTAGTTTTGCGGTTTCGAAATCTGTTATTCCGAAATCCAAAATCATGTGGGACGACGACGCCGAGGCTGACGCTCCAATTGACGCGGCAACACCTTTCGCAAAGTTGGGCAAACAGCAATCAAAGCTGGGCAAACAGGGCGGACAAGGCAGCAAACAAACAAAGCGCTGAACAAGCGAAGTTCAAACATTTGTGTTTGCCCAGTGCAACGACGACGACGACGACGACAAGTTGCATAAATTATTATCGAACGCGAAATGCAATTGCAATGGCAATTGCACGATTTGCCTCGGCCTGGGAGCAGCTAGCAACTAGCAACTGGCGACTCAGGCCACCTTGTTGCCGCTAATGACAAATGCATGTTGCTTGTCTTTCACTCGAGTCCGCTTTGCAGGCCAGATCGGGGCTCCATTAGCTCCATTTAGCTGGGGCACACTTGGTCAGTTATCGGAACTATATATAGATATATATAGGCATAACTCTCATCATATTTTTGTCTCGAATAATTTATAATATATATTTTATATTTCATACATTTACCCTTTTTTTTAATTTGTTACATGGTAAATATTATTCCAATTTGCCAGTAATTTTCTTATAAATAATTATTTAATTTTAAACAAATTATTAAAAACTAGCATTTCAATTAATGCAATTATGGGTTAGATTTTATATATAACTAAATAAATTAATCTATAAAAAAGAAACCAATAGCTAAAAAATTAATAAACAATTAAAAATAAATCGATATTTAAAAAAAACAATAATTAAAAGAAAATAAATAATTAAAAAAATAAATCAATAATTTAAAAAATAAATCAATAATTAAAAAAATAATAAATAAATAATTCATTTTAACAAAAATCCACTCTTTTGACACTATAATTCCCAACTAGTTCTAGCATTTTCTGAGAGGTAACACAGCTGAATGTTGAGGTTGGGTGGCAAGACAGTGTGGTGGTGTGGTTGTGTGGTGTATGGTGTATGGTAGTGGTTACTCTATCCTAGAAGAGCTTCTACTTTTTGTGCTACTGTGTTACAGTGTACCCTATCTCTCTTTTATAGCTTAGTGCTACGGGTTTATTTGCTATTTGGGAAATAGAAAGAGGAAACGATCAGATATCACTGGAGAGGCTTTGAGATCACAAAGAAATCAAGGAGACTGATCAATCAGAGGAGGAACTTATACAAATGTGAGTACACAAAATATATATATTTTTTAGTTTTAAGAGCTCTTTATTTCTAATATTAAGTTTAAATAAAGGTTTATTTTATAAGATAAAAAATAACAGTAATTTCAGCAAGGAGAAATAGTTAAACTAGAAGACAAAAAGGACAATTTCTGGTATAAGGCTAAATTAAATAGGCTGCTGATTTTTATATATTTATAATTTTTAGCTTTTATAATTTAAATCATATAAAATGGCGTCATTTTCGACCTTATAAATCATATATATTCTTTATCAAAAAATTTATAGGGTAGGAAATGAGTGCTTCACTGCTTTGCAAACTTTGTACAAAAATTTGAATATGAATTAAGACTATAATAAATAAATAAATATAACAATATCATTGCTTTAACCAACTTGCATTTCCATATTTGCCTCAAAAACCAAACTAAACTCTTGAACACGATGCTCAAATATTTCTTCAGGCCGAAAGTAGATCAAATGCAAGCTGCACTTGCCTGTCATTTGCATTTGCAGTCACTAAAAATCACTTAGCAGCATGTTAATAGTTCGTTTTCAACCGTTTCTTAAATAGTACTTGGTTATTACCATAGCTGGTTAAAGAAATATGGCCAAACAGAAGCTGAAAGACCATTTAAACGCTTTTATTGGAGCAAAAAGATGGCAGCGAGAACAGGATTTCGTTCGTTTATATCGATATAGGGGCACGAAATCACGTGCACTATCGCTTTAAGTGGAAATTTATGGGGCTTCATCAACACCTCGCTTGGGGTTCATTAAAAACCCCATTCCAAGTGCTACAAATCTGTTCATGAACTGCAACAATTCCAGGTGCGATTAACATTTCTCGCATGGAATCCATAAAATACTTGCAAGCTTAATACCATGGATTTTAAGATGGGGGATATTTTTGTTTGTTATTAAATAAAGTTTAAAATAAAAAAAAAAGAAATGAGAAAGATAATAAGGAAATATACGTTTGGATTGGATAAACTTTGTACTTATCAATTAAATATTTTTATTTAATACAGGAAAATCTATAGATTTTTTTTATACCTTTTTGAGATCTCTAGAAATTTATGTAGCCTCTCTGTGGTATAATTGGGTTTAGGTTTCCAACATAAAATCATAAATTTATAAATTATTTCAAATTAAAAAATCAAATTAAACAATTTTAAATTTGATTTTGGTTTTCCAGGGTATTTTTATTGTCTGTATCATGCTCGCTATGCCCTTCACTACATATATATATATATATTGTTTTATTTTAAATTGTTTTCCCTCAAGCGTTGGGGAAATGCAAATGAGTTGGAAAACATTTACCCTAGAATGCTGTATGTAATGTGCTATCAATTACAGGCGGATATTTCCATTTTTTGAAGGAGAGGATGGGGGTGGTGGTGGGTGGATGGGGGGTGTAAAGAAGCGAAGCCCTAGGAGGGCTCACAAAACGAAAGACTTAGGCAACGAACTGCCGCTGGCCTCGGTCCCTAATGAGGGCTGTAAAAACGCCTCTCCCTGCCAGTTTTGCCATTTTCCCTGGGATTGGAAATGTAATGGGGACTGGGATGGAGGTGTAGGGAGGGGGCATGGGGCTGGAGGACACCCTGCTGCGAGATTGCTCGGCTTTTAACGAGCGTTTCCCACGCTTGAAAAATGACTCTCTCGCAGCCGAAAAAAACGAAGCTGGAACTGGACTTTGAGTGTTGCAGCAAAAGCTGAGTTATTTGCTCGATTGGAGTTCGAATTTGGTCATTTATATATATATATATATATATCTGTAAGATATATATATGTATATATCGTTATACATATCTATATATATACAACACGTCTAGCCATGGCCGTCGTCGTCGTCGCTGTCGGTTTTTGGTGGCGCTTGTTGGCTACCGTGGCACGCCGCTCCCAAAAGCCTAGAAGCTGCTGCTGCTGCTGCAAATCCGGCTGCTGCAGCAGCTCCAGGGATTGTGGCGGAGCCAAAGGAGAGGCGGCTGTGAGTCAGGAGGCGTGGCAAGGGGAAAACCGGTTGCCTTGCCGTTCTTGGCCGCAACTAAAAGCTGTACGCAGCGTTAACAAGGCGGCGGGGCAAACAGTGGAGCCTCCTCCATAAATTCAGTTTAAGTATTAGTTGAAGTTTAGCCATAAAAACCATATTTAAAAGTCCTAAATTATGAGTTACTCAAGCAACTTACGCAGCAACATTGTCTAATTATATGACACATTTACTAGACTCTACTATTTCAGAGAGAAATACTTCTCTGCAAATCTTTTTCCTTCAAATTCTAGCTTAGCGAATCTCCACTTCTAGCCATTGTTTGCTCCACACACACACACACACACACACACACACACACACACACACACACACACATCTATAAAGAGATGTATACATACTATTCGTATGCTAAATGCGTTGCCTGCAAAATCAAGTTTTTGCATTTTCATTTAAATTTATGGGTTTCCTCGCTGCCGCCTGTTGCCAAGCCACTCGGCCGGCAACTTGCAACTTCATTCCCCAACGATTTGGCACTCTCCTACCCTCCCCCGATCCACTCCATCGACGTGGCATTCCTCGCAGAACAACGAACAGCGGCGACTGGAGTTTAATATTTAATGGTTAGCATTGGGAGATACGCAGATAAATGAGACATTGGGGCATTGGATGACATAAAACAGTGGATACACTTGGCATTAGCACTTAATTAAAGCTGGAATGGTGGCGGAAACTCGCTCTCTAGCTCCCCTACATCCGCACCTGAAACTTGCCCGCCTTGGTGAGGTATTTGACGCCCTTGAAGGGCTTGTACTTCTCCCCGTACATGTCCAGGCGGTTGACCTTCAGCCCGGAGACGGCCAGCTGTGAGATTTGGAACTGGACATTAACAGAGGGATTTGCATCGATGTTGGTGGTGCCCGGGGTAATGGAAACCTAAAAGAAATTATAACGAAGTATTATTTCTGCACATTCTTCGTGGGTTTCTCCCTCACCGATCCCCTGATATTTGGCAGCTTGGACACATCAATGCGACCCACATCCCAGGCCAGGGTCTTGGTCACCGAGTCAAAGGTGTACTTGCCCTGATTGGGTGTCAGCAGGCAGTTGAGCACGCAACGCGGCATGGTCAGCTCCAGCTTCACCTTGTCCACGGTGCGACCCAAAGTGTTTCTTGGGCCAATTGTCAAATCCAGACGTCCCTGTTCTCCAGTTTTTATAGAGAAATTGTGCCTAATGTAGATGGGTATGGCCACCACCGACTGGGAGCTGATGTGGTACGACATCAGGCGAAAGTTGCCATCGGGGGGTATGAAGGAGAGCAAACGCTCCGCCTCCCAGCGCTTGAACCTAACGCAGGGATGGAAGGAGACATCGTCAAACAGGCGGGGATTCATAAAGGACAAGGTGAGATCCGGCATGCCCGATAGCTTGATGCAGCAGTCAATCTGTAAGAAGGGTTTAGGTATCAAATTAAGAATGAATTTTAAGCTTTCTCCTGCTGCTCCTCACATGTCCCTGTATCTCTGCAAAGACCGTGGAACCCGACTTGTCTATGATGGCATCCACCTCCTCAATCACATCAAAGTAGGCCTCATTGTTGGTGTACCTAACGCCGCTCCTGCGCCAGGGTATCGCCGACAACTGACCCGAGGGCAGAGTGGTGCTGACACTGCAATTTAAAAATAAGAAAGGAACAAATTATGGGGGGGGATGTACATGTACCCTTGAAGAAAAACCCAAACCAAAATCAGGACTCACTTGCTCTTGCCCGTCACCGTGTTGGCAATGGTTCTCAGTATATTCGGCAGCTTGATTAGCTCCTTGAGGATGTTGCTCTCGGTGGCCAGGGGAAAGCCATTGTCCAGCATCTCGTCCAGCAGTTCGTAGACCACCACATAGTTGTCCTTGATCACCGTTTCGCTGCAGTCGCCGAAATAGTCCTGAAAAGTGTCCACCACGCGATGCAGGAACTCGATGACAAACAGTGGGGGCACCTCCTGCTTGCAGGCGGCCACCAGAGACACTGCATCCCGCTGGACAGTGATGAGGTAGTAGTGCGGCGTGGCTATCACCGGGGGCACATCCTAGAAATATAAATAAAAACATCGATTATACATCAAAAGCCCATCTACGTGGCTGCTGGCTGGGGGGCGCTTACATATGGCGCTGCTCGTTGGGCGTCCAGGAAATACTCGCAGACGGAGCGGGAGACCACCGAGCGCCAGTGCTTCTCCAGAAACACCTCGCTGTTAGGTGGAAGAGGGGCTGTAAGTCGGTTTTATAAGTTCTTTGCAAGACTAGCTTACCCGCCGCTGTTCACTATAAACAAACTGTGTATCATAATTCGGCCTTAAAAAAAAAAATTGTTTACTTTTTTTTCTTGGCAACAGTGTGGCCAACAGAAAATGAGGATTTTCAACAAAAAAAAGGCTCAAAAAAACTTCAGCTTTCGCGGGTTTTGAACACTGCTTTATTAATTCGTCATCTAGCGGAATATGTTGGAACTATGAATATGGTTTGGGCATCGACTAAGTAAAGGTCCAGTCGTTCACTTCTGGCGTTGCCACACCTACTAAAAGTGAACGACTAGCTAAACACCAAGCTAAATTTATAGTTTCGACCTCTTCCGCTAGATGGCTAACTGAGTAAGTAGTGCTTTTTTAGATCAAGCCTAGACAAAAACCATTAAATACGTGTCACCGCTTACCTACCGTTGCCTTTTACGATATTCAAAGGCTTAAAAACTCTCTCAATTAAATACAAATTAAATTAAATTATTTAAAAATTCTAAATTATAAAGTATAAATTTTTAAATTATACAAAAATTATAGAACTTAATTTATTTATTTTAAAATAACACAAACACCATCGATTTTATTCCTTAATCCAATCTTAAAAATATATAAATATTTATTATTTAAGTTTGAAAATACTCAGTTAGAAATTCATTAATTTAAACTCTGAAACCACTTTTCCTTAGCTTTTAGAACGATAAATGTCCATATTGATTTTAGAATTTAGAAAACATAAAATTTTTGTTGGCTTTTGAAAATTGATCGATGTACATAACCCCTTATAAAACTTTGAAAAAAATTGTGCAATTTTACGAAAAAATTCCAAATTCAAAAAAATCTGTAACTCGGCCAAAAATGCATTCAATTCAATGCAAAAAGCAGTTTTGTCTTAGTTTTTATAAGGCAAAAAAATCTGCATACTCCATTTAAAGTTTTATATTTTTTTAATTTTTTGCCAATTTTTGAGAATTTTGACGATGTAACCCCTTATCAATTTTTGAAAAAATGAAGAAAATTTGTAAAATTTGGTTTTCTGCCGGACATGCCTAGTTCGACTCGGCTGTTGATGCTGATCAAAAATATATATGATTTATAGGGTCGGAAGTGACTCCTTTTGCCTTTTGAGATATAAAAACCCTCAAAATGAAGCTGAAAAAAATAAAAATAGAAGCCTTCTTAAGAAACCCCTTTTTCCCAACACTGTTTTCCCAAGACCCTCCAACTTGACCCATAAATAAATGCATAAAATATCTAAAAAAAATTATAAATAAATTCGCTTTGGCAAGTTCATTGTGAGGCAACTAATTTCAGGGCGAAACCTGACCGCCCCACCGCCTTACTCATCCCAGACAGTCACACACATGTGCCCACCGCAATCACAGTCGCAATCGGAATCGCAAACGCGTTTCCTCCCCGCAATGTCAAGTTTCAAGTTTCGAGTTACAAACCCAATTGATGCTAGTTAAAAAAAAAGTTATATATAGGGGAACAGAAAAATCTGTGAAAAGGAGACCACCGACCTTTGATTTCCACCCCGCTTTGTTGTGATGCGCACGTGACAAGTCCGATTAGGCGAGCCCTTTTTTCCTTTTCCCCCCGATCCCTGGCTGCCTGCGATCCTGTTCCCTGTTTCCCTGCCGTGGAAAGTGTCAACACAGCAATCTATTTTATGCATAATTTGGCGTGCCAAAAACGCGCGACTCATCAAAATGGTGTCATATGTTTTTATGGTGGCAACACGGCAAAGGCAACGGCAACAAAATCCGTCAACCAGCAGAGGCTAGTTTTGTGGGCAGGCTCAACATAAAAAAAATTCAACATGGGGTTGAGAGCTGGATAAAAGTACCATACAAGGTTGCAATTTGATGCAGTTTGCGGCATATGCCTGTTTATTTAATCGCTTTTCCTTGGGAAAGCATTTACAATATATTTTCAGAGCTAATTGCGGAGAAATTGTAACTGGAGTTGAGCTATGTAGTTTACTGGATTATTTTGTTTACATTTATTAAAAGGATTCAACTTTTTGGGTAGAGCTTAAAATTTCCAAAAAATTATGTAGTTAAGTTAAATTAAAGTTATTCTTTGATTTAGAAAAATAAATATAAAAAATGTTATAAATTCTCATCCATTTAAACACAATTTCCTTTGAAATTAACAAGTCAATGTTCCATTGAATGCATTTTTCTTTGCAATATAATTCCATTTAAATTCCATTTCATTTACAAGTTTTTCCGATAATAATTTTTTATGGTCCCTGATTTCTATACTTTAGTTATTATGAATTGGTATAAACTCGTATACTTATTTTTATATTTGTGTTTTTTTGAGAATTGGTATAAACTTTTATTCTCCTGATACTCTCTCTTCATAAACACTAAACCAATTCCTAAAGTCCATTTAGGGATCAGTAGCAGGGATCAGTAGCAGCAGTAGATAGACGATGAGTTTTGCTATTAAGACTTGGTTAAACTCGTATAAATAATTTTATACTTTAATTGGGAAATTGTAAAGACTCATACTCTTTATAAAATTTGATTTATTAAGAATTTGTATAAACTGTAATACTTATTTTAAGATTTTAGTTATTAAAAATTGCTATAAATTTGTGCAATTTGTTTTACTTTAATGAAATGGTATAAACTGTTATACTCATTCGTATACTAATTTTGGCATTGAGTTAATCAGTTTTATATATTCTTTCTCAAGGGTATAAAAGCTATAAATATAGTTATTATACCAATTGCTGGCCTTAAACAATATTATTTATTGCAATACCTAAAATAATTGTTGAAAAAGTGTTTAGAATTGTAAATAAATTATAAGAAATGTTGCTCAATCGATCAAGAAACCCTGGAATATTTTCCGAAATCATCAAATACCATATCTTTACCTAACCTATCCCTAAATAGTAGTTAATCCTTTGATTGCCTGACAATGACCCGTCGCTGCTTCCCACGTTAACTCTCCGCGAATCCCTGTACCAGGATGTCTGTGCCCGAAACAGGATTATACATTTATTGTAAGCTCGTTAAAGTCCGTTGTGTGAGAATGAATACGAATTGCAAACAACAAAAAAAATGGAAACCAAATCTCTTTCCATATTTTTTTTGTTGCTTTCATCCATTTCCGGCGGCGCACTTTTCCGCTTTAAAGGGAAAAGTGAAAGGCGAAAATCGCGAGGCGCTTCTCATGTCAACTGCACACACGATTCGCGCGTGTCGGGGGCGGCGAAGCGGTGAATTAAGATATTTACGCTAACAAAACCATCAATGATGGCAGGGCGGTCCGATCCCGTCCAGATAGGGCGTGGCGAGACCAGAAATCCGGGCCTGGTCTCTGACATCTCCTCGGGAACACGCGTGCAGGTTGCGCTTATCACAGCAGCCCAGTCGCCCAGCCGACGTCTTATCAGGGGTGCCGGGTTCCTGGCCTTGGTCCTGGTCCTGGTCCACCCCACGGGCGGATGGCGGTACACGTGCGGTCACGTGACCGGAGCTACAAACTTTTACACGTGCCACAAGCACGGCCTGGCAGGCCAGAAAGCCCAGACGAAGGGCCACACAGCCAGAAATATATCGGATATATCTGATGTATCTGGTTAAATATAGATAACAGAGATTGCTGGAATATATTATTAAATAATGTATGGTTTTTCTTGTCCCGAAAGAGGCTGTGGAGCGACTGCAAGAAAGGGAAATATATACAAAATATATTTAAAAAATTGAAAAAAAATATAAAAATATATTGAAAAAATATAGAAAATTATAGAAAAAAAATATAGAAAAAATATTGGGAAAATATAGAAAAATATAGAAATAATATTTAAAAAGTATCTATAGAATAGATATAGGAAAACTATGGAAAAACTATTAAAAAAATATTTAAAAATATGAAAAAGTATTAAAAAATATTACAAAGTATATAAAAAATTTTAAAAAATATATATATAATGAATATATGAAAAAATATAGAAAAAAATATTAGAAAAAATATCGATAAAATATCGAAAAACTATAGAAAAATATTTTAAAAATATTATAAATATTAAAAAATAATTAAATGGAAGAATTTCCAAACTTCTTTGCATCGAAATGACCTTCCTTTCTTTGTTAATCCTGCTTTAAAGCATATTTAGACTACAAAAATTTCTCTCAGTGCTGGATCCTTCCGGCGCAACGTCGATGCCTCCTCAATGTCACGGCTATGGGGGCGGTATGCCAGCAGGATGTGGCCGTGGGCGTGGCACTTGCTTGGAAGCAGTCAGCTAAAAAAAAGGGGAAAATGTAAAGGCCGGAAACGGGAAACGCCAAACGCGAAAGACGAAAGGGGCAAAGGGGGAAGCGCGTTTGTAGGCCGGCCAGAGATGTCATTTGCAAGCCAATTGCAGATTGATAAACAAATTAAGGGGGACATCAAGGTGGGCGGAAGGTCTCTGTCAAGGGGGCGTGGCTGGGAACGAATTATGCCGTCAATGGCAAGGCTTTAATATTATTATTAGCCTTTTGAAATAGAAATAAAGACTTGATTTTTAGTAGAAAATGAAAAGAAAATTGAGCGAATATTTTATTTTATAGATATTATTATTATATTATTAACTAATATTATTTTAATAATTTGTAGAAATCATTTACATATTTTTATAAATTAAAATACACCTTGGTTTCCTGTTAAAAAATATTTCTTACAATTAATATTAGTTTTTATAATTTTTAGAGATTTTTAAATACATAAAAATACATCCTAGTTTCCTGTTAATAATTTCCTTACAATATTAAATATTAAATTAAATATTAAATATTATTTTAAGAATTTGTAGAGGTCATTCAAGTGTTTTAATTCATAAAAATACACCCTGAGTTCCTGTTAAAAAATATTCCTTGCAATTAATATTGTTTTAATAATTTTAAAAAATCTCTCAACTATTTAAATACATAAAAATACACCCTAGTTTCCTGTAAAAAAATATTCCTCACTAAGTATCACCCATTAACTCTTGAAATATTGCGTTACAAATATCCCAAAAACCAAAATATATTTGCTTTCGTCATGGGAAATGGTTATGGAGGACAGGCATCGCCCCGAAACTGTCTGTCATCATCGT